ATAATGGTGGTGGACACCTTGACTCTCTTTTTCCTCCCTAACTCAAAACTCTTAACACAGAGAAGCAAATTAAGTCTACTTCATGTTGGTTCTTAAGTCCAAGATCTTAAATCTTCAAGTAACTGGCCCCCAGGGCACCATTCAGAACAAGATATGATGAAATTACCTAAGAGATTACTAGTATTCTTTGCCCACAGAGACTAAATATTTGAATTGAAGAAGCATCCATGCTAAGTTAATACAATCTTGTGTACTTAACAACAGTATGCCCTTCATCTAGCACAAAAAGGAAATATTTGATGAATATAATAAAACTTCATTCATTTTATAATTTTATTTGTAGTCATTCTTCAGAAGCTAGATATTCATTAAAACAGCTACTTCTCTGCTCGTAAATTTTTTAAAGAAATACAACCTGGGAAACTGGAGCATTATCATCAATAAATGGAGCTGCAAGACTAATAAATGAAGCCTCCCCTACACCAACTAGCCTGGAGAGACAACCATGATATAGTACTAGTTAATTTGTTGAATTAAATAAATCAATAATAAAACTGAAGGAAGATAAGGACATAAGTCACCAACTTACATGCGGCAGATTGTAATGGACCAGAAATCCCTTGAAAAACCACAACCTATTACAGCCACGGTCCAAACTGACAATCCAACTCCAATAAGCCTAAATGGATTAAGACTGCAAAAATTCACAAGTATATTAGGACTCATGCCAAAGTAAATGCACTATATTAAATCAGAAATCTAGTTCAGGAGAATAGTACAAAAGCAAGGGACAAGGGCCAAACTATTCTTTTTTTCCAATCCTGCTCTGTTAACATGCTAAAAATATAGTTCCTAAAATAGATATTTTCTCAATGATTATGGCAGAGCCCACAACCAAATACAAGAAACATGCGTCAATAAGTGATTCAGGCTACATCAAATTGAGGTCAAAATAGTTAAGATGACAAGAGGCTGAAAAACACACGCCAAGTAAACATAGAGTTGCAATCATATGATTGTTTCAAGTGCCTCATAAACTTCAAATTTGTTGCTTTAACATACAAATATTTTGTAGGGAAAACTCCATGACTGGGAAGACTATTTTTGAAATATTTCACTATGATCTTCCATAATCAAAGCCCCATGCATATGTCAATCATGTCTATCATAAGATCAGATGAATTTCTAGTTTTAAGTATAAGATTTAGACATTTTAATTTAAGTAATTAATACCTTTTATAATTATAAGTATCTGTTCACTTATCTCCAGCATATCTAGCCTATCTAGCATATCAAAAAACTAAAAACCAGGCCCCTCTACCTACACAGTTACAGGCTGACAAAAAGGCATGCAAAGAAGATAATTACCTCTTTGCCAATGATGCAAATATTGGGGAAGCCACTAGCAATCCAACCATGAAAGCGGACGATAGAACACCGTCTTCAAAATTGTTTAAGTTAAACTCCCCCCTGTAAGCAACCATGAAAAAATTTAAGTCAAAGGAGTTGCAAAGTCTTATTAAAATTTGAGCAATTTTAGAGCACGGCCAAAAAGGCACATATAAACATAGCACTATAGCAGTAGTTCCCATAAGGTAAGTGACGCAGATTGGACAAAAAAGAATATATATATAATGCACATGAAGTTCTCAATTTTTTTATTTTTTTCTTATTTTATTTTTTGTGATTACAATCCACCTAATGAAATCAATTACAAGTATATAATATTTACCATCCAATTCCTCAAGAGGCATGAACAGCTATGAAAATTTAAATGAAAGCCTCAATGTAAGCTTACTGTATTCCGCTACCAGATGTGCATGTGCCATCTGTGCAAGTTCTGCGGCTCCCATTCACACCATTGCTTGCAATTGCTCCTCGATCCACATAATTCAACATGTTGATCACACAGAAAATAGCCAGTAGCCTGAACAGTACAGCAGATTTTGTAATACACTAAAATTAAGATATCATCAGTCATGATCCGATCATAAGATCAGCAAACCTTCACCATGTAAAGATATATAAAACATAGATCGAACACCACCCAAATTAACTCACCTCCCGACTGGCACTACCTTGACTGTGCTACACTTCATTAAATTCATTAAAGAATAATAGCTCAAATTCATCTAGATCTCAATGTCAGTAGCTCAGCTCATAATACAACAGCATTTATTGAAGAACTCTTAACATTGAATGCTTTCACACACTAAAATTGATACAAAATCACTATTGAAAGTGCTTACAGTTTTACCAAACAACATATTTCATTTGAACTCAATCATTAAACTTCATTCGACTAAAATAAACTTAATTCCCTCAGAAACCAAACAAAATCCCATAATGTGCATACTCAACAAGTATAATTCTTACCAAAATTTCGATTTCTACACTATATCTAACAACCCCACAGAGAAACAAAATCTAAAATCTCTTCTTTATTCACTTTCCCTTCACTTTCTCAGCAACCAAACAGACAGAAACTAAAAAAACACAGTAAACAGAGCAAAGAAGTACCTCTTTGGAGTGAACCACGACGGCTTTGGAGGAGCCAATGACACTGAGTTTCTGGCCATCTCTATGTCCACCACAGATGGGTTTGGTGCGTCTAAAGAAGCAGTTTTTGCTTCTTCTTTTGCCATACAAAGGATTAAGAGGTAATATATTTAAGCACTACTACCGCTTCTTTGTTCTTTGGTTTGGTTGTTTTGAATGGTAGTTGACGTAGTGAATTCTCCAAGTCTTAACTACCCTCAGCAGCTTTTTGTTGTCACTTTCAGCTGCTGGTAAAAGTGCTTTTTACTGTATAGTTTTGGTTTTTTAGCTTCCGCTTTTTGAATTTATAAGAGATAAAGATAAGCTTTAAGATGAGTAGATTACTGCAAATATTTAGTTAAGATGCCAATTCTAGTCCTAGATTTTACCAAAATTCTTGGAATTTTATCCTCTGTGTCCGCATGTATTATAAATTCAAGTGCTTCTGGTATTAAATTGTGCCACGTACGCATCTAGTGATGATCAGCAAGCATCTTAAAATAATTAACAGGACACCATGAGGTTTAATTAAATAAGTAAGTCCCCTCATATTTCATAAATAATGAAAATCCTCTTGTATAATGTTAGAGTTTATAACATTATAGGTTAATAAATATTTACTTCATTACCAATCTGCTGTTTATTTTAAGTTTTAACATCAAAATATTAACAATAAGAGACTTTCAGTTATTTCTCTAATTATATGGAGATATTATAATTTAGTTATACTGAATTATTAACCCTTTTATTAAAATTAGTAGATTCATTTAATTGTGGGCTATCTAGGCTAACACTATATCATGACCTGTAAAAGAGTAAATTTAATAATCATTTTAAAGATTTAATTGAAAATTAGATTGATATTTAAGAAAGAAAAAATTGAGAGAAATTTATGAAAACATTAAATTTATTACTTGGTGGTGTGTATGTATATTAATTTATGATAAAATAGTGTTACATGTACAAACTACAGTGTATAAACTAATATGATACAACTCTTTTATTGTCGTAACATTCATCTATATTAATTAACATTTATTAAGTTGATTTTGTATATAAATTCATATATTCATTTTATATCATATCAGTTTGTAGAAAGAGTTTATATATTTAGTATTATTTTTTATGATGTTGTGATCTAACACTATTATAATACCATAGACAAAAAATAAAAATAAAAAAAATCAATATTTATTTTGTTAGCATTACACCAAAAAGGTTAAATACATTTTATCCCTTAAGTATCTAAAATACATTTTATCACTTAAATATCTAATATAACAATTTATCCTATATCGCGATATCTTGTTAGGGTTTTGGTATCAAATGTGTTAGTTTGATGAAACGAAATTGTTATTCAGTGATATCTCCACGGGGAAACTATATCCTTAGGCATACTAAAATTACAACATGACACCTTGATCCAAGTGAATGTTCAGAACAATGTAACCCCTATACAACTAGAGAGTAACATTTCAACCCCTCATAAGAATCAAGGTGTTCTTGATTTTGTTACAACACTTTCAACCCCTATATAAGAATCAAAACAGATAGGTGGTACTCCTACATAATTTTTCTGGATAAAAAATACATTTTATATGAAAAATATTTTTCGGAATTTTTCTTTTTCTTTCTATCAAATTTTGTGTTAAATAACAGATTAGGCTAAAGACGGTTATCTTTTGGATGAAAATGTCACTATATTATAATATTTGCAATAGTTTATTATAGTGACGGGTCTCGAATTTACTGGTTTAACCGGTTTGACCAGCAATCAAACCGGGTGTCAAAAAGTTTAAAATTTAGCAAATACATGCTTGAAAATTGGCAAGTCCCTAAAAGTTTAAAATTTAGCAAACACACTCCAAATACAAATTGACAGTCGATTGGATTGTCACAGCAACACACTAAATGCAATCATAATCATCCTTTAAGCCCACTCCCTAGAAAATCTACTCAAGATCTGGCCGAAATCGATTGATTTCGGTTAGATCTCACCACTACCGACGTCAACAATCCTCCTTATCACCACGAAAATACTTCCATCAGCCTCTTAACCAAAACCCATCTCACCCCACCTCGTTCACCTCACTAATCACCAACAAAAGCTGGTTGTTGTCGCCAGTTTTTTCGATTTCCGATTTATTAACCTACAGGAAATCACTTACGTCGCCACCGTTGCACTCACCGACACTTCCTCTTCAAATGCCCCAACATCCCGACCTTTAATTGTTCCCCAATCATCATCCCAAATTCTAGGGTTTTGGATGAATAAGGAAATTGTTAACCCGACACGGTGAAGGTCCCAAGTCCCGATTGAACTGGTTCAACCAGTCGGGCCGAGCTGGGTTTTAAAACACTATCCAAAACCAAAAATTGTATTTGCAAGCAGCAACATCATGGAGGCAGGCAGGTATCAAAACCTGTAAAATATTAACATAAGAAAAGAATGCATACAAGTAGGGAGGGAAAAACAAAGAAGACCTCTTTCATTTGTCAATTATTTACACTAAAGTTCAACAATATTTCATGTGTGGCTAATAAAGAATCAGGACTTTTTGAGTGTTTCTACTGTCAAAAAGACCAGTTCTACCAGTGCTTGCATGTGATTTACATGCCTTCTATCCATGCTATGGTTAGACTTTGCAACAAAATTTTGAATAATTCGGCTACAAGAGTACAACATTTTCAGATGCACAACTTCAAATGTTGCACTTCTCTTTTAAGATTCATGGTAGTTGTTAGATTAGTTACTTATGGCTTTACCATCTTTTCTTCTCCAGCTTCTTCGGATTGTTCTTGAAAACCGTTTTCTTCATCTAATTCACAGTACAACACTCCTTTTCCGTCTAAATCGTCAGACAGTTGATGATCACCATCATGTGTTGCTTTTCCTATCTCCTCTTGATAATTAAGAGCACGAGATACATCTGTGTCGTTCACTCTAGATAACCTTTCATTGTTTGAAGTTGATGAAATCGGTTCTTGAGCCCCATTGAAGTCACCTACTCTTACCTTAAAAACCAAACCAAACCGAGTTATTCATCAGAATTTTCAACTGCTTAAGTCACCAGAAAATGCGAGAAAAGCACTTCTAAAGATAACAACAGTTAAGTTTGTTCAAGGAGTAAATTTCTTAAGCCCCTTGGACTTCTTTTTTGGCACCAATGATTAAGAAAAGGAGGAGAACATTATAATAGAAGTGACAAATTTCACTATCCCAGTTATCAAGTTAATGTCCATAATTGTGAACTTTCAATTATTAAATTACTAACATGGATTGCTGTAAATGAAAATTATGTTAGTTTTTGTAAGATGTTTGAGATAACTCTCGTTACCAAAAGGATGCACCAACAGTTTGCTCTGCCAGATCTTTTTCAGAATGAGATGAAATGATCAAGTTATCCAAAAAAGGGGAAAAAGGTGCCACATTGCAAGGATGGAAGAAACAGATTATGGGAAAATTTCAACACGAATGTTTTGCATGTAGCTGTGCCTTAGTTATCCAAGAACAAGGGTTGGGGGGATTGCTTTTAATATAACACAATTGATGCCAATCGAAGGGAAGAAATAGATTTTGGGGCAATCTCGATAGAGATCTTTTGCATATAGAGGAAAATTCTTTTGGCTGTGCTGTCAATGACAGACCAACCTTGATTCATTCTAATATGCATTATGTACCTGCAGCGGCTTCATAACATCAAATTCTCGACCATCAGTTTTGCCAAGTGCCTCTTGAGCCTGTAGCTCCATGGAGTCCCGAACAAGCTGACTTAAAAAGCTTACATCATCAGACATGACACCAAACCCCTTCAAAAGCTTAGAGCCAAGCTGTAAACTTGTCTGCATGAATAAATAGAATAGTTTGACAAAGCAAATTAAATTATGGAAAACCATACAAAGAAACAAGATTATTTTATTAATACCTCTGCACTTTCGAGAATAGCATCTGTAGCTCCTGCTTTTTTCAGATCCAAAAGATGCATGAGGTCTTGAGCTCGGGCATAAATTGGAATCTGTTGAGTTAATGTTCATCAGTAGATTACCAATCCCAAGAAGGAAACAAAGAGATTTAAAACAAAGAAATAAAAGAGTTCATGAAATTCTTGCCATTGAAAATTGGTCCAGTCAGAATATGAAAGTGCAAACTTCATAACCCCATATGTTTCATACATTAAACTCTTGCCACGATTTCATATGGACAAGATACCCTAACTGTTTGTCCCTCACATGCACACTTTCACCATAAGTGAATACACAGACACAGCAGGAGAGAGAGAGAGTGAGAGAGAGAGAGAGAGAGAGAGAGAGAGCCCAACCACTGGGAAAGCAAGCCGAAGCCTTTGGACTGCCTCAATTGTCCTCTTCTTCCCTGTGTACATGATCATAACAGCTTTTGGGGAAGAGACACCAGCAGATTGCAGAACTGCTGGACGTGATCCATCGCCATATAGAATAGAAAAANGGACTGGGTTTTAAAACACTATCCAAAACCAAAAATAGTATTTGCAAGCAGCAACATAAAGGAGGCAGGCAGGTATCAAAACCTGTAAACTATTAACATAAGAAAAGAATGCATACAAGTAGGGAGGGAAAAACAAAAAAGACCTCTTTCATTTGTCAATTATTTACACTAAAGTTCAACAATATTTCATGTGTGGCTAATAAAGAATCAGGACTTTTTGAGTGTTTCTACTGTCAAAAAGACCAGTTCTAGCAGTGCTTGCATATGATTTACATGCCTTCTATCCATGCTATGGTTAGACTTTGCAACAAAATTTTGACTAATTCGGCTACAAGAGTACAACATTTTCAGATGCACAACTTCAAATGTTGCACTTCTCTTTTAAGATTCATGGTAGTTGTTAGATTAGTTACTTATGGCTTTACCATCTTTTCTTCTCCAGCTTCTTCGGATTGTTCTTGAAAACCGTTTTCTTCATCTAATTCACAGTACAACACTCCTTTTCCGTCTAAATCGTCAGACAGTTGATGATCACCATCATGTGTTGCTTTTCCTATCTCCTCTTGATAATTAAGAGCACGAGATACATCTGTGTCGTTCACTCTAGATAACCTTTCATTGTTTGAAGTTGATGAAATCGGTTCTTGAGCCCCATTGAAGTCACCTACTCTTACCTTAAAAACCAAACCAAACCGAGTTATTCATCAGAATTTTCAACTGCTTAAGTCACCAGAAAATGCGAGAAAAGCACTTCTAAAGATAACAACAGTTAAGTTTGTTCAAGGAGTAAATTTCTTAAGCCCCTTGGACTTCTTTTTTGGCACCAATGATTAAGAAAAGGAGGAGAACATTATAATAGAAGTGACAAATTTCACTATCCCAGTTATCAAGTTAATGTCCATAATTGTGAACTTTCAATTATTAAATTACTAACATGGATTGCTGTAAATGAAAATTATGTTAGTTTTTGTAAGATGTTTGAGATAACTCTCGTTACCAAAAGGATGCACCAACAGTTTGCTCTGCCAGATCTTTTTCAGAATGAGATGAAATGATCAAGTTATCCAAAAAAGGGGAAAAAGGTGCCACATTGCAAGGATGGAAGAAACAGATTATGGGAAAATTTCAACACGAATGTTTTGCATGTAGCTGTGCCTTAGTTATCCAAGAACAAGGGTTGGGGGGATTGCTTTTAATATAACACAATTGATGCCAATCGAAGGGAAGAAATAGATTTTGGGGCAATCTCGATAGAGATCTTTTGCATATAGAGGAAAATTCTTTTGGCTGTGCTGTCAATGACAGACCAACCTTGATTCATTCTAATATGCATTATGTACCTGCAGCGGCTTCATAACATCAAATTCTCGACCATCAGTTTTGCCAAGTGCCTCTTGAGCCTGTAGCTCCATGGAGTCCCGAACAAGCTGACTTAAAAAGCTTACATCATCAGACATGACACCAAACCCCTTCAAAAGCTTAGAGCCAAGCTGTAAACTTGTCTGCATGAATAAATAGAATAGTTTGACAAAGCAAATTAAATTATGGAAAACCATACAAAGAAACAAGATTATTTTATTAATACCTCTGCACTTTCGAGAATAGCATCTGTAGCTCCTGCTTTTTTCAGATCCAAAAGATGCATGAGGTCTTGAGCTCGGGCATAAATTGGAATCTGTTGAGTTAATGTTCATCATTAGACTGCCAATCCCAAGAAGGAAACAAAGAGATTTAAAACAAAGAAATAAAAGAGTTCATGAAATTCTTGCCATTGAAAATTGGTCCAGTCAGAATATGAAAGTGCAAACTTCATAACCCCATATGTTTTATACATTAAACTCTTGCCACGATTTCATATGGACAAGATACCCTAACTGTTTGTCCCTCACATGCACACTTTCACCATAAGTGAATACACAGACACAGCAGGAGAGAGAGAGAGTGAGAGAGAGAGAGAGAGAGAGAGAGAGAGCCCAACCACTGGGAAAGCAAGCCGAAGCCTTTGGACTGCCTCAATTGTCCTCTTCTTCCCTGTGTACATGATCATAACAGCTTTTGGGGAAGAGACACCAGCAGATTGCAGAACTGCTGGACGTGATCCATCGCCATATAGAATAGAAAAACCAAGTTTTCTAGATGCCTGTCGATGCAAGGGTGAAAATATTTAGTGTCATCAACTATAATAATATCTTAATGTATGCAAATGAAATTCCAAAACAAAGATGGGCTATCATTTTGTTGCCTCCTGAAACTAGCCCCTTCACCAAGCTTAAAGAATATACAAACTACACATAATTTTAATATTTGACAATAATTAAATGCTTGTAGCATGAAAGCAGTTTTAGTCAATATAACCTGAGATTTCACCCTTGTATACTAATTTAAGCAAAGCTCTTATAGTAATAATAATCGTATGCTCGGAAACATTCTGCAGTTGCAACTGCTAGTACCATCATAAGATATTCCTCTATTTTCAAGAATCTCATAAACGAGGATAATTATCATAGATCCCTTTAGAGATGTTTCTAAAAATTAAAATAATAATAATAATAAAAACTCCATGGGTTTTGGAAACTATTAAACACCGTCTAAATAGGAAATTATTTGGTAGAAAATTATTTAAAATACCCAGGGAGTAAACACACTAAATATTTTTAAAATTAGAGTATCTCACAGGGGTCTATGATAATTACTCCACAAAGCAATTACTTAATATACCAAATTAAAGATTTCTGACAATATTTTTCATTTTAAGGGTTCAAAACTCTATAATGACAGAAGATATAATAGTCCACAAATAATAATTCTAAAGCCAGACATCGGATGAACCAGACAAAAAAACCAAAAAGGAAACTCCAGAAGGCATTTGACAATCTAAAGAATTTGTCTGAATTGTTAAATTCGTGGCAAGTCTCTTAAATCTAATAAAAATGAACAGCATATGGATTTTGTATCATGCAGCTACTTTGCAAGAAAGAAACAAGAGTATAACTCTTCCTGACCTTGACTACAGAAGGATTCAGATCAAAAGCTACATAAGGCCATCCCACCATATCAGTATCTAACCCAGAAGCCAATGGGGTGGACAAAAAATTGGCGAGGACCTGCAGATAGGAAATTAGAACACAATATAATATATTTACAGCTTGGCAAAAATGATAGCTCTCACTACAAAATAACTCTAATTGGTGTACCTGACCCATTTGTCCAAATCCAAGGATAACAACCGGTTCATGACCCTCAAAGGTCACCATTTCTGCAACTTTCTGTAAAAATTTCATTATGTAAATTTATACTCAAATACTTTGTTGGAAGATAAAAATAAATAAATTGGAGTGTAAATAACAGAATAAATCGACATGTGTGTCAGCATGTAACTAATCCTCCATATATACTGTGTACAACAAAAGCGGTCAGGTGCTAGAAACATTACCATATAAAAAACAAGGCTAATATCGTATACACTATCTTAGTTATAATGACTAAACATTTCATTAATAAATTTCCTTCAACAATTGCTTAATGCTTAAATTAAAAGCTGTACAAATGCAAACAATCCGAAATCTTAAAAGAAAACTGGTTGAAGACAAGTTTCTGTAAGAGTTGTCACCAAAAAGAAAAATGGAAGCTTCATTATCGCAAACAGTCATTCACTGAATTAAAATCCGAATTGGAAAGTGTGGGCTAGACACATACATCTTCCTTGTCAAAGTTGTCATAAATGAAATCAGCAGCCCATCTTCCAACTTCATTAAGCAACGGAGTTAATGCCATTGACAATACAACCACAATTATGAGCAGCTTGTTAAGCTCAAGTGGCAAGACTCCCAATCTGCTTGCAAGGCATAAACTTATCAGCATAGTCAAACACTGGATGCGTAATTGCTGTAGTTGTATATTAATTTGTGACTGACCTGTTAGCAAGAGAAAAAACTACAAAGGCAAACTCGCCTCCTTGAGATAGAAGCAATCCTATTCTAACACTTTCTTGCATAGTGAGTCCAACACGGGGACCTATTGCTGTTATAATTAGTGTCTTGATGACTATTAAACCAGCCAACAGAGAAAGTACATTTGGCCACTCTCGGACAAGAAGCTGCAAAGCAAAAAGAAAAATGAAAAAAATTAATTGTTTCAAAGAAATGCCAAGTAGAACCACTAATGAAGATGCTACTTCATCAGTGAAGATAATATTTATTTATTTAATCATAACCCAACTGGAAAGCTGTATGCTCCTATGTTATATAGATTCAAGAAACATAAATCAGCATATTCAAGATTTTTCTTTCCCAGTGAAGAAATTACTTAAAAAAACTGATTCAAATAATTATAATACCTCCATATCAATGGAAGTCCCTGTAGTGACAAAAAATAACCCAAGAAGTAAGCCTCTAAATGGCCTTATATCAGCTTCAATCTGCGTTCGGAAATTAGTTTCTGCTAATAGTGCCCCAGCCAAAAATGCTCCAAGCTTCATTGAAACAGAATTTAGTTACAACATGAACTTGAAAATCATCAGTCAAAAGCATGTTCTAACATTGAGAAGAGAATAAAAACCGTATCACTAAAGCCCAGCTGCTGGGTGAGAAGTGAAGTCCCTGCAACCGTTAGAAGGCAGAGAGCAATAAAAGCTTCTGAGCTCCTTGCTTCTGCAACAACCTAGTTTGATAAATTTGGTTAGTTTCTGCAGCAAAGGAAATTTTCAATAAGATTTTTTATCAAACACAAAATTTTGCACCTCAAAAACTCTTCTCAGAAGATATTTTCCTCCAAGAGAAAGCAGACCCAGTCCAGCTAAAGCCTTTAAACTTTCTTTAGCAAGCATCGGCCAGATACTTTCCTCAACTACATTCTGCAAAAAATTTGAAAACTCAAAGCCTAGGAAATTAAAAAGAGAATGTCAATGCATAAAAAACAATCCTGCCACCAGCTAGTTACTTCCAGTGAAGGCTAATCTGTCCCTTTACAGAAACAGAATGATATAGGCTTCGTTTGGTTCACAATTGGGTATTTTTGGGAAAAGTTTTCTGAAATAAGTTAAAAAAAAGTTGAATTGGGCGGGTTTACGATGTAGGATTTATAAATTAATAAAATACCCCCTATATTTGTTTATTTACAAAACACCTCCTATAATAAACTTAAAAGTTAACAAAAACACCCCCAACCCAATGTCAAATACGGACCGCCGGCCACCACCCGGAGGTGGCCGGGTTCACCGTATTGGCGCATGACCAGCTGGATCTTGCGGTCGTGCGCCGATATGGCCTTTGCTGGCCAGATCTAGGCCAGATCTACGGCGTCAACGGTCAGATTGGCCGTATTTCTCGTCAACAACGACCGTTTGTTGGCCGTCGTTATAAACCGTACGGCCAAAGATCTGGCGTCAACGGCCAGATCTTTTGCTAGATCTGGCCTTTTCTGGCCAGATCCACCGTGGATCTGACCGAAAAAGGCTAGATCGGCGCACTACCGGCCAGATTCAGCCGGTAGTGCGCCATCCTAACAGATTCCGACCATTTTCCGGCAGTGGTGGCCGGAATCTGGTAAATATGAATTACTGGGGTGTTTTTGTAATTTTTAAAAAATATTTGAGGTATTTAATTAAATTATCAAATTTAAAGGTTTTAAAAAAGTTGAATAATATTGGAGTGTATTCCCAAAAATCAAAGTTTTTGGGTATTTTACTGTTTAACTTTTTTGGGAATACTAAAAGTAATTCCCAATGGCAACCAAACGGAGCATATTTTTCTATAAAAATAGCAAATAAATTTGAGGCTATCAGTTCTTTCCTTGAAAGAGATGATTTCTTTTGAAAAAGAAAATGATGACCTTTTTTTATCTACCAGGCACTGCTCTTGAATTATCCATTAGTGAACATGACTAAAACCATTCATTTTTACTTTTGTTAATTACTTTCAAATTACAATAATTTAAGAAAATGCTCCACTTTTCTTGATTTAAGAATCATTCGAGAAGATGAGAGAGAAAAAAAATTTTAACTTTAACAACTATAAATCAGAAGATCATGCCAAAAGAAGAGTAGGGAGAGTTGATCTCAAAGTTATGCTGTGAATTTGTATTTCATTGGACTTATCATGCAGTACGCTAAACTTTTTCTTGTCAACTGTTCATCTTAAGTACTCAAACAAAAAAAGAATATGATAAAACAAGAAAGCATGTAGATGTGGGGTGAGACAGAGAATTTCCACATACCTGGCTCTCTAACACCGGAAGAATGACTAAGAGAGGGACAACCGCTATGTCCTGACATACAAGCAGTGGGGATCCAAAAAGGTTATTCACATCAAATCTGTGATGTCTACTTTGCTGATGAACCTAGAAAATTGCAAAGGGAAATAATAGGAAGAAATAGCATAATTAATTATATATTAACTAAAAAATAAATGAAATGATGAGTACTCTGTAGTACCTGTAATAGAAGTATCCCCAGAGTTGCTGAGCCAAATCTTGTTGGGAGCTCACCCTTCTCTGCAAGAAGCTATATTATGTTTGATAAGTTCTACATGCTCTATCAAATACAATGCACATATCTTATGAAACAATAACCAGCTAAAATATGGTGTATATACTCAATCCAGAAAATAACCCTATGATTCATTATCTTTTGCCTGAATATTATCAGAAAAAAAAAAAAAAAAGGGCATGAAAAGCCCTAAAAATGCAATTTCAAGAGAAAACCAGAATGATGCCAGCCTGTTTGCTTCACCATATTGTTTTATGACTCCCATATATGTAGTGCATATACATACAACCAGCAAGCTGACTACAAAACTATAAAAACATTTTATTTTCCTTGTGTTTCATTGTGTTGCTTCACATCCAAAACCACGTTTTCTAGTAATTCCAGACCATCATGAAACATACAAAAATGTATAAATATATCAGAAATGTAAATAAAGTACAATCTGATTCAAGGTGTTAGTACCAGAACATTGAGAGAGAGAAACGTGTTTGATGTACAAAACAATCTTAGATACTTAAACAATAATACCTGCAGAACAAAAGCTGAAGATGACAAGACAGAGCAGCACCGATCACTACAGCTTCATCAACACTTCTAATGTTGAATGAGAAAAAATTTTAGGATTCGTAGAAAAATACAAATAGAAACACTGCAGATGAAAACACTCAAATGGCAAATTATCAATGACTTTGACTGGAGAAGAATTTATTAAGCAGTCAGGTTCACAAAAACACTGAAATTAAAAAAGAAAGATTAAAACACAATAAGAATTAAATCTGACTCACCAAATAGTCAAATCATAGAAGATGATTACCTTCCTGACTGTTGATGTCAGACAAAAATTACATATGAACATTTTGCTCTTATCTTTGAACAGGTCACTACTATATTATGACCTTCTTTCTGTTCTTACAATATGAAATGATGGAACCCAGCACTTTACCAGACCTCTCACAACTCACACACAACACCACAACTCAAATACAAAATAATAATTACCCAGACGCAACAATCAACAATTTCCAGCATCAATCCACACAACAGCTCAAAATAATGAAAATGGTATATTAATCATAATAAAGAGTTTAAGAAGAACAAAGTTGTGTGTGATAAAACAGTAAAACAGTAGCACCAGCTGGTCTTCGAGGGCCAGCTCCTCTAATTGCTAACTTCAAGGGTTAGCTCCTCCCAATTTACCAATATTCTCTTTTCCCTAATCTGTGCTCTCTCCCTCTCTTTTATCCTCCAACTCTCTCTCTCTGTAACTGAATTCCTTTGTTGTCCCAACCTCCAATCGCCACCTGTCCTAGCCTAAACCCATGGAAGTTTCCTGCCAACATCCCCTCAATCCAACTTGCTACCTTATTTCACTTTTCCTACACCCCATTGTCCAGGTCCCTCATTACCCTCCCAAGCAGTACCACCTTGTCCTCAAGGTGGGAAGATGGAAATTGTTTACCCAACGCCACCCCATTCCTTCATCGTTCATCATACTTCTTTCTTTACCCAACTCTTCCTCATCTTCTTCTTCGACCAATTATTTGAAATTGTTTTTCACTGCAGCGGTGTTCTGAAGAGAATTGGCGTCACTTCGGAAACAAAGCCCTTTCTCTTTTTCCATTGAATCTCTTCTTCCGTCATTCGCCGGAAAGGGGGTGATCTTGTGGAATAAAACTGGAATCGGACTGTCGATTCACTGTTGTACTCGAACTCCGGTAACTAAAGGCTGTCGCAACACCAGATGGTGCCTCTCCCAGATCGACGCTCCAGCGAAGAGTTGCCAGAGTATCGCGACTGATCATTGAAAGAATTCGATCTGGAGTTGTTTGCAATCTTGGTTAAATTAGATGGACCCTAGACCCATTTGTATTGACCCAATTGTTCTCCCCAGGCCAAACTCAGATGAATTAAAACCCTTGCCTAGTCCATTATCTAATGAATTAAACCTTCTGCCCAAACCATTTTCAAATAAACTAAAGCCTTGGCCCAATCCATTCTCTAATGACCCAAGCCCATGCCCATAACTAAACCCATTTAGCCCCATTGATCTCCCATGTTTGCCCAGCCCAATTTTTAAATCCTCCAAGGCCCAATTTTTTTCCTCCATTCTTTGGGCCGAACCTAATAAGTGAACTAACTTATTAGATTGGGCCAATCTGATTTTGGCCCGAAATTTTGATTTTAGCCCATCATAAAAAGCATGAATTAAAACTTCTTCCTTCTCTTCAACAAAAGGAGCGTGGATAGCTTCCAACTTCTGACGATGCTCCTCCACCATACCAGCTGTTGGTTCCCCATCAATGATTGATGTACTTCCTTCGTCCCTGTCCAGCACACGACTGTTGCTGCAAGTACCTTCGGCGCTGCTTTTCCGTTAACGTTGAAGTATCGCTCGATTCTGAACACCCACTCATGTGGGTCTTCGCCGGAAAAAATGAGTATCTCCAATTTCCGGCCACCACTCTCACCCCGATTATGCCTTGGATTGCTGGAGTTTCCAGCTTCATTTTGTCCTCCAAGGTTCTGATCATTAACTGCCCCTGAAGTTCTCAATGACCATCTCTTCTGTTGTTCTTTTGTAGATATTTCTGGTTTCTTTTCCATATAAGTCCTTTCCACGAACTTCTCTTCTCTCCTTTCGCTTCCCTTCCTTTCCCATTTCTTTGTCCTTGCTTCTCCTTTTTTTTCTGTTTTCCCTTCCGCTCTTTGTCCCTTCCCCAATTCTTTTTTTTTATTTCTTTTATTTCCTCTTCCCCTCCCTCCAAATCTGTTTTTCCTTTGTCTTTTCCTCTTTTTTTCTCGTTTGTTCCTGTCCATTATTCCCCTCCCCTTCCTTCCCTTCTTTATTCTGCCTTCCCCCGTTATTCCTTTTCCGTTTTGTTTCTTCCCCCCTCCCCTCCTTGCTCTTGTCCCTTTTTTTTTTTTTTTTCTTTGCTGTTTTCTTCCATTTGTCCCTCCCTTCTTCCCCTTCCCCTTTCCTTTTTCTTTTTCTCCTTCCTTTTCTCCCTTTGTTCCTTCCCTTTCCCTTTTTCTCCTTTTTTCCCAAAATTCTTTCCTTTCTCTTCTTTTTCTCCTCCCTTTCCTTCTTTGTTTTTTTCCACCCCTGTCTCCCTTCTCTCCTCTCTCCCTTCTTCTCTCCCTTCTTTTTTTTTCTTTTTTGTCCCTCTTTTCTTCCTTTTCTTTCCTTTTCCTCCTCCCCTCCTCTTTTCTTTTTGCTTTTTCTTTCTTCCCTTCTCCCTTTTTTTCCCTTCTTTTCTCTTTCATTTTCTCCCTCCTCCCTTTATGTTCCCCTCTTCCCCCCCCCCCCCCCTCCTCCTCCTCTTTTTCCTCCTTCTTTCTCCTCTTTTTTCCCAAAGTTCCCTGTGTGGAATAACCATATTCTGGTGTGCTTTCCAGTAATAAGTCATGTTACGAACTTCGCTCTCAGCCTTTCTTTCATCAATTTGGCATCTCAATCAACATTTCTCTCATGGCACCCACGGTTTCAGATAACCTGGGAACGTCTCTACTGAACATCCCATCAACTTCCTTCAATTATATAGTCTTCACTCCATTCTAGTACCAACCGTAAACAACAATCGTCGGGCTCTGGATACCAATTGATGGAAACCCAGCACTTTACAAGACCCTCTTCACAACTCACACGCAACACCCACACTCAAATACAAAATAATAATTACACCAGACGCAAACAATCAACAATATTCAGCATCCAATCCAAACAAACAGCTCAAATAATGTGAAAAAATGGTTATATTAATCATAATAAGAGTTGAGAAGAACAAAGAGTTGTGTGAATTAAAACAGTTAAACAGTAGCCCCAGCTGGTCTTCGAGGGCCAGACTCCTCCCTAATGCTAACCTGCAAGGGTTAGCTCCCTCACCAATTTACAATATTCTTCTTTTCCCTAATCTATGCTCTCCCTCTCTTTTATCCTCAGCTTCTCTCTCTATGTATCTGAATCCTTTGCGTCCAACCCCATTGCCACCGTCCTAGCCTAAACCATGGAAGTTTCCTGCCAAACATCCCCTCAATCCACTCACTTGCTACCTTATTCACTTGTTCTACACCTTCATTGTCAGGTCCATCGCAAACACTACAGCCAGTTGCTTATAACAGACACACCAACTAAATAGCCTTACAACTTGCTAAGACATCATCTCTATCAACAATAAAAATTGGCTCACAACCCAATCTATAAACTCTCTTTCACAACTCCTAAGTGGCATAAATTTTGGGAAATACATCAACAAAAAACTGGAAGTTGCACCTAGGGATTGTAAGAGAGAGTTTAGAGGTTAGATTATAAGTGTAGTATTGCCCACCTATCAAATTCTAGAAACAAGATGAACTCCAACAACTTGAAAAAATCAAACATAAAAACTTTCCTACATAAAATCCATTACAGTCACTCGAAATATATGACTGAAGAAAGATGATAACACAAGAAAAAGGTTGAAGGTCTCACCAAGTCAGGCTTTGAGTGGAAAAGGAACTCCAAGATTCTTGTTCCAATAGCACCATTAGGTGGAAGTTCAAACGCCGTGAAAGCAAGAGTGGATAACACAACCTTCCAGAGATAAGGAAAGGAAAGGAAAGGTGAGAAATATTACAAGTTAAAAAGCTTGCATGGCATCCTAAAACAGCTATTCAGCTTCTCATATCTCTAAGAATTGTAAAATAGTTACAAAGACCAAATGCAAGCTAAAAATTTCAGCTGACAAGGAAAGAGCATAAATCTGAAACAAGGTCAAACTAAATATAACAATGAAATTAGTTCCCAAACAGGAAATCACCGCAAATAAGCTTCCATAAAAACTAAAAAATTTTATCATTTCTAAGACTTTTTTATGAATCAAGTGGAATCATCTTTTGTTACAATTTTAGCCAGATATCTTATGGAACTACCGTAATAGATAATTATAGTTTAGTTGCCACCAATAGCAAAATTTAAACAGGGTAAACGCAGGACTTGTATTGACAAGCACAACAAGACTGGTGAAGCAGTCCAGCACCACTAAAACAAACTACAAAAGTAGATAATAAGCTGAGGGTGAATATTGTGATAAAATAACTGTGTTTAAAGACTATAAGTAATGATTTGTTAATCATGCACATCCCCAGTTCTAGAAGAACATGGATTTTGATTGTTCTATCACAAGGACATACTGTGTATCCAACCCATAATCTAGCCACTGACTTTATAATTGTATTAATGTACACTTAACTATTCCTACTCAATGAATTTGCTTAGGTAATAGCCGTTATCCAAGGTTTTTATTTAAAAGAAAATGCAACCAAACAGCAACTGCTGAGTACTCTAACAGCAAGATTAAATTACTTCCAGGAAAAATTAACTCCAAGTTGTTAAAGCACAATTTGAGGATTTAGTATCATGCAACCCCTACTACTTCAAAAATTATGATCCCATCCATCAAGTCTGGCGTTTACTAATACATGCAAATAACTAAAAAGAGAAAATTAATGTTCAGTATGTGATTTTCAAGACTATAAAACTGCTGTCCAGAATTGCATCAGATTTCTGAAACCAAACCTGAGTCAGTCCCAAGCCAAAGGCAAATTTTGCAAGAGCCTTTAGACGTGCAAGTGAAAGCTCCAAGCCCATCTCAAACAACTGAAATAAACATGTATTAGTCCAAAAAGAATGTGTCATCATTACACAGTACGATTTGAGAAATGAAGCATCATAAAATATCATAAGCTCCTTATGCAAATTCCAGTCTGAAAAAAAAAACATAAACCCAAATAAATTATGCAGAACAATGGATATCACTGTCAGAGTCTGCAGAGATATCTCTATTACAGGTGAATTAATAAAATCTGCACATTTTATTTATAGGAACTCATCAAAAAGTGTATAAAGAGCTATGTATTTTTAAGCCCTAAGTTTCGGTAATATAGTTGGAAACAAGCAGTAGTTAACTAATGAACATTGTTCCTGAAAGCCAAAACAAACTTGAATTACTCTACAGAGAAAATAAAAATAAAAATAATGAAACTCATGTTGAAAAGTAGCATCATGAGTGGCACAAACAATACTACTCACAACAAGAAAAACATTCCAAATGTGGACTTTTCCTCCAAAAAACAAATAGATAAAGATTCATCCTTTCCTTTGAGATCAGACACAATGCTCACTGAGATGCTAACTGAGGAAAAAGGGTAGCAGTGCCAGTAACTACTAATATAAGTCATCACTCTGATTAGCCAAGTTAGAATTTATTAATATTCTGAGTATAATAAGATTTCACTAGTAAAGCACGACCAATAATACCAATATGAGAATATCACCAGCAATAGTAATTATGTCCTACTTGTGAACTTGATGAATAACTCCAACTGAAGACATCATAAGAAGACACGTCCAAAGCAAGAGTGTGCTTACCAAGAAAAGGATCCCCCATTCAGAAAGAACTTTAACATCTGTAAGATTTCTGATGATGCCAAGCTGATTGAGTACAATTCCAGCAAAAAAGAAACCAAGTATCTGAAAACAATTAATAGTTCTTATCATCAGTTCAACAAAATAAAACGTATATAATACGTATATCCAATCCTCAAAAACCTTTTTTAGGTCTTGGACCCTCCAAACTAGTTTGTTTACACTCCACTACTGCTCATATAAAGTATGTGTGCCATATATGTGAGCTCATACAAGTCATTCTTATTAGTTCTTCTACTTATAATTTTACACCTTTCAAAATCAATATAGGACTGAAACCCAAATTGCTCCATCCTTTGCGTATGAATGTGTGTGTGTGTGTGTATACACTTTTGTTTACACCTCTGTGATTGCATGTAAATTGCTTTCAAGCACTTTTGTTTACGCTTTCAAACCTTTAATCAAAACAATATTCATGGGTACACACACTTGTTTATCTATAGATCAGAAAAAGTAAGTGTGTTTGTGTGCACACTTGTGTCCAAGCACACGTGCATATGTAGGAATTTCTTTCCTAGTGCTTGCACTTATATTCTCTCACATTTCAAAGTTAAACTCTCTCTCCATCTACAGGTCTTTGTGCACAAGTGTCTGCAAAAACACACATTTGATATGGTTACTTTCGCCATTTTTTCATAAAATTTTCACTCCCATTGAACCAATGTTGTATGAATGAAAAAGTGTGTATCCGTGTGTGGACTCTTGCACCTATCCAAGTACTTTTGCATAAAATTTTTACTCCATCTGAGCATGCTGTTGATAGAAATTTAACCCAATATTTCAGAAAATAAAAATAATTAAAATGACAAAGAGGGTGAAGAAAGAACACTAAAAAAAATTGAAATAGTAATGTTATCCTTACAGGGCTGGCTCTAGCAATCTTGAATGCAGGAACAACAATGACAGTCACAGCTAAAAATGTAAGAGTGTCCAGTCCTAAATCATTAATAACATCAATGGCATTGGCAACATCAACTGTTGCATACATCCGAAATTTTTCCCAGTGGTCCTGTCTACGGTTGGAGAAATAGAAACCTTTCCGACCAAATATTGAGGAAGTTAAGGATGACCTTCCATCGAAAGTAAATCTGGAGGCAAAAGAGTGACGACTTATCCTATCATTTACCACATGCGATGGAACATGGACCCCTTGCTTGTATGAATATCGCATCCCATAAGAATGCATAGAAAAGTTGGAAATATCATAAGTGTATGCCCTAATTGGGCTTGTTTTTTTGAAGATGTCATATACCTGCAATGCAACAAGGTAAGGAAATATGTCAATGCCAATAGCACTATTTCACCTCCAGGCATGTGAAACATAAAAAACATCCAAACAATGCATAAACTAAGAAACAGAAATGCCCAAAAAGAGAATCATCCATCTTAATCAATTCAAACCCTGTACCAGGGGAAGTGAATTTCATCACATGCCAAATTGATGCAGAACTTCTCCAACGACAGTACAGCATACATTTTTATGTTAAGAAAAGAAAAATTTAATCTGTCATGATACACAGCTAAAATTATAAGCATGGTTTTAGCACTTGGCAACCTTTTGTACCAATCAGTAAATTTGACTCAGAGTTTTGACAGAAGTCGAATTTAACATGGAGTTTAAATAGCATTTTATGTCCTTACACTATGAGGTTAACTAAATCTCCGGCCTTTTCAGGTGAACCAATTCCCATCCTAGCCACAATCCCGAAGTACCTGTTCAAACTAACTATGTGCCTAATAACTCTTGGCATATGGCTCCAAATTGGCAACACAGAACACAATTACAAACATGCTGTTTGGGATTGGCAGCATCAGAATTAGCAAACTCGTGCTCAATCACTGTTTACCCCCACGAAAACTGGTTGCCAAAGAGTGTCAGAGGAATTTGGTTGTTCTAATACCCAAAAAGACAATGTAATCCAACGCACAAGTATATATAGGCCAATAATATGAAGGTTAAATTCATCTTTCCACAAAAATGCCAAAGTCAGTTTTGGCTCGCCATGTTTCTGTATTCATCACATTTTTCCCACATGGCACATGAGTATTAATTAGGACAAAATATTCTAACAAAAAACTCAAATTGGGACTACTGCCTAAGAATATAATGGGAATTGATTTTTTGAAATTGCAGGGCCACATGGAACACACAATACGACTTACTCAGTCTTCATGGAAATTTGACTAACTTGAGACAATAATACAAATTTTGATTAATTAACAGTTACACACATATTGATATTTATTTCAAAGATTGTATGAATTGAACATCATCATCAAGAAAGCTAAACTTACATTGATATTGGATAAATAATCAAAAACACGAAGCACCAATCAAACAACAACAAACAAGCAAGAAAGAAAGAAAGAAGAACTTAAAGCAGAAGTAAGTAGAAGAAGAGCTGACCTTAGGACTATAAGAACAAGCTAAAGTAGTTTCCAACATAGCAAAACAAGAAGAAGATTCAAGAATCAAGGACGAAACAAACAAGTGCAAAAGCTAAAGCACATTTGCTCCTATGTTTGACTTTTGACTAACAAACACTTCAAAAGAAGATAAACATGAAGATTCTTCGCTGGGAGTTTTTTTCGGCAGAAGGGGTTGTGTTAATTTAAAGGCTTAAAGGGAGAGGAGGAGAAGTGACCACACGTTCAAGTGAAGTGGTCTGCAAGTTTTTGGAGGTTTTCTATTTTTTGTTTTTCAAGTTAATTTGATTTGTGGAGGAAATGGAAACGTTTGGGCAAGAACTGGCTTTAATCGCCAACTGGATTTTTTATATATCCAAGCTAACGTATAGTACACGTGGCGAGCGTTGATTACGACTGGCTGATTATTTCGATGGAACTTGATAATTCATAATTACAAGAATAAGAGAGAAACCAATCCCAACATAATTTTGGGTGCGCTTAGTTTATTATTTGGGATAAGATTTTGAGAATAATATTGGGTACTTGGATAGGAGAGTATTATGAGGTAAAATTTAAAAATGTGTGAAAAAGCCCCTAACTTTGCTAATTTAATTAAACACCCTAATATATAAAATGACAAAAACACCTCCACCACCTGCAGTGCCAGATTCCAGCCACCACCACCAGAATCTGGCCAAAAAATTTCGTTACGACATAGACCGGTCGAATATGTGTCGTAATGCGTCGCTATGACCTTTTCTGAAAGGTCAGATCTACGGCTAAATATTGTCATCGACGGCCAGAAAACGTCAAAAGAACTCTATCTTTGGCTGTGACGGCCAAAGATATGGCTGTCGTTTTTGGTCAACGATGGCCATTTCTTTGGCCATCTAGCCTTTTCTGGCCAGATCCGTGGTGGATCTAGCTAGAAAAGGCCAGATCGGTGAACTTCTGGCCATTTCTGGTCGGCAGGTAGGCCGTTGTACAGATTTCGACAACCATCGACAGTCATTGTCAGAATCTGACAAGTATGGGTTGTGGGGGTGTTTTTGTTAATTTTTAAACTTTTTTAGGGGGTATTTAATGAAATTAATAACCTTATGGGGTCTAAAAGTAATTAAAAATAGGCTAATATTTATGGAATAATATTGTAACGCCCCACTTGAGGTACGTATTTGTTGTTTCCTCTTCGCTCTTATTTGAGTTGGTTTTTGGTAATATTGTTTGATTGAGTGTTGTGTTGAATGCTTGCCCTGAAATTGGTTGAAAATAGATGAAGTTTAGTGTTTCAGTCTTCGCCGGGGCGAAGCAGAATCTTCGCCGCGGCGAAGAGGTGTTGAAGCCACGGGGAAGCTGCTGGACAGTTTCGCCGCGGCGACAGGCCGATTAAATTGTTTGTTAAGTTTTAGATATTTTCTTCCCTAAGGGCAATTTGACCATTCTACCCCTAATTAGCAGGAAAAGTGAGGAGTAAATTGTAAGGAAATTTTAAGGAGAATACGTTAGTATGGGGGTGTGTTAGTAAGGAATCAAAGGATATGGATGAAATTTCCATAAAAGAGCAAGGGGCAAAATGGGAAGAATGAGTATTAAGAGATATTAAAAAAGGGTTTAGCCTTTGAAAGTTCTTCATTTCCCATTTCCACCGCCTCCTTCATTCTTCTAAACTCTCTCAAATTTCCTTCAATCTTTCAAGGATTTCCAAGAGCCTTTTTGAGAAACTTTTAGTAGGGTTTTAACCTAAAGCTTCCTAAGGTAAGGATTTGTGCTTTAGATGAGAGTTTTCTTATGTTTTGATTAGAATCTCATGTTGTGATTGTTGGTTAAGTTGTAGAGGAAAAGCAAGCTTCCAAAGGAAAGGAGAAGTGTTAAAGAAGCTAATTTCTCATAAGGTAAGTAAACTCAACCTAAGTTGAGATCTAAGAACTCTTTTGAGTAGATTGAAATACATATGTGTTTTCTTTTAATTGTTGAATGAGAGTAGTAATTATGTTTGAGTTATGAGTTATGAGAAGTGTGGTATTTGCTTGATGTTGGGTTGAGTTTGATAGAAGTTGGAGGAAGTTTTGAGCAAGCTTATGGAAGTGTTTTTATTGTGACAGGGAATTTAGATTGTTGTGAGGGAGTTTTCTCCCATTTGGTTGATTAAAGAAAACAGAAAAGTTAGAGTTAGAGTAGAGTTATTTATGCACATGAGTTGCTTGATGAAATGCTCAAGAGATTCATAAGTAAGGGTAGAAAGCCTTAATTGTTGCTACATGTCATAGTTACCTTTCATAAATGCATTAATGAGTATGAATCATTGATGTGCATTAATTATGCTTTACTTATGCATTAGAAAAGAGAGTAGAGAAAGAGTAGAGACTTGTGAGTTTAGACTACTCTAAGAGTAGAAAGAAAAAGAGAATGAGCACTATAGAGTAAAGCTAGAGTAGTGCTTAATAAGAGAGTAGTGCTTAATAAGAGAATAGAGTAGGTTGTGCGATGGGGAACCTGTGAGTACGGGTAGAGTATTCCCGCATGTACGCCGCATCAATAAAGCGGCCAGAGTATCAGAAAGAGAAGTGGTGTAGCCCGTAGTGTACATGCGGATGAGGGCTATACCCGAGTTTACCCGAGAGATTCTATGCACTCACATGGTCAAAGGTTCCGAATCCATGCATAACCAAGTCCGATCGGCAAGAAATAGTAGAAGTCACCGGGAGTGGGAGCGAGTCCCAGCCGTGCCTCCGGTCAGACGGGGCCGTGACTTACTAGAAAGAAAGTTAGTATAGAGGAGTTGTGAGAAAGAGTAATTAGATAGTGATTAAAGAAAGAGTTACGGAGATATTTGGGTTCAGGGGTTTACTTACTGAGCCTTGTTTGTGCTCATCCAGTTGTTCCCTATGTTTTTGCAGGTTCTAGATGAGGACACAGTCGGATGGACATCGGCACACGAAGAGAAATGGCTACACTGTCCACCCCTTTTTGATAGTTTTGCATATGTCACAAACCTTATATATATTTGTATAAAGAATGCATATGTCTAATGAAAGAAAAATTTTGGGCCCAACTTTTTATATTATGGTTACGTGTATTTTTACTATGCATGTTTTTATAAGAATGGAGTCGTTACAAATATGTTAAACATTATTTGGAGAATAGGATTGGGAATATGGGCATAAATAATAAGCCAAACATGCCCTTTATTATTTTGGTCTCAAATAGTATGGATTCCTAGTCACAGTACTGGATAATTACAAGTTCATTCCTTATGTTTGACCCAATTACGCCAGTGTAGTACAACTTTTAAGTAACATTTTAGTCCCTAATTGATAAAATTTCCAACTTTTGTCTTGTTGACAAGGGGTGTGCAAAAGAATCGGCTGGAACTGGAACCAGCGGGTACTCAAGGTTTCGATTCTAGTTCCTACCTAGAATCGGCTCTTACAAGGTAGGTTTCAATTCTAGAAATCAAGAACCGGTCGATTCTAGTTCTGGTTCTAGTTTCACCCCTGCAGCAACCAAAAATTGGATCCAAAACCAAAACCGAGATCTAAGTACCTGGGTAGGAACTAAGATTGAATTGTAATTTTTGTAAATTGTTATGGTGTATTTGTAATTTTTATAGGGTTTATTTGTCACTTTTTAAAAAGTAGGGGTAGTTAAAATAACCCAGGTACCCGGAATCAGAACCTAGGTTTTAGGTTCCGATGCCAAATCCAAAGAACAGATCAATTCTGGTTCCTTTGAATTTGGACGGGTACTCGGACCTGCCCACCCCTAGACTTGACATGGACCAAAATGTTACGAAGAGACTGTACTGGACCCAAGTTACTTAAGGCAAACCTTAGGATTTCTTTTAAAGAATATATGATGGCACTTATAAAGCCAAGAGTTCTTTCTTTTTTCTTTTCTTTTTTTTAATAGTTATTTAATTATATAAATGTAAAAGTGATATTTAACAATAAACTCTCTTAATGAGTTTTATTACAAATGAATATAAAGTAGAATGTCTTCTTTTTTTTCATGTTTTAAAACTTGATCATAAATAGCTTATTGAGAACATCCACATTTTTTGAACTACATAAACTCATGGTTTAAATTAGGGACGGCAATGGGAAATAGTTGGGACTTGGAGGTCTTTCTCATCCCCTACTCTTCTTTGGATTTTTTATTCTTATTTTGCGGATCACTTTTTAGGTTATGTTATGAGACTCGTCAACCTAAACTCTCATAATGTCCTTAAATGAGAGCTTTACACTAAATTTCAAAAGGTCTTTAACGAAAATTGCAGTCAGTGGCTTGAAAAAGATAAAGCAATGGTCCAGCTAGGGGTGAAAATCAAGTCGAGTAGCTCGCGAGCTACTCGAACTCGACTTGATGTTAGCTCGAACTCAACTTGAAATTAGTCGAGTCGAGTTCGAGTTCAAGTAGTTCAGGTAGTTAATCGAGTCGAGTTCGATCATAGCAGAACTCAACTCAATATGTTCGCGAGTATTTCTAAACTCGATGGTTAAGTTGATAGTTTTTAAAGTAATAGGGGTCATATGTAATTTAAAAGTTATAAAAATTGTAAATCCACTCATGTTAGATGAGCTCGAAATCGAGTTCGAACTCAAACTCGATTAAAATTCTACTAAAACTCGATTAAAACTCAATTATACGAACTCGATTTCCAACTTCAAGTAACAAATTCGAGTTCGAACTTGAATTCTTAAGCTCAATCAGGCTTGAACTCAAACTCAGTATTGTAGCGATCGAGTCGAGTTCGATTTACCAGATACTCGACTCAATTACACCCCTAGGTCTAGCCCTAATTTGGAAAAATAATATTAAGTTCAATGTTTATCTCTCATATGTTGTTCAGCAGGTATAAATAAGAAGAGTGCACACATCCTAAAGGTAACCCTAATTTTAGTAAGTCTATCAAGTAAATATCGTTTCATTTTTAGAGTGTAAACATTGCATTTACTCAAAATCTAATTAACCCAATAAACACCCTTGTTAAGGTTCTTTTGTTCATTTTGTAGGTACCATTACCAAACCTTCATTCTTAGGCCCTCCTTTTGTATTTGAACAAGATAGGAGAAGAGTATTTTCCATGTCCTTCCTCTTTTCTCACATAAAAATCTTACTAGGATATTTTTATTGAAAATCATCCTCAACATAGAATATTAATGTTGTAAATAAGAATCACCATTAATATATTGTAGAAAATATCAACTAGAGTAAACAACATATTCCCACCCGAGGTTTAATGAAATCCTAAGTTGGTACTCTTTGTTCCATTTATTCTAGGCTCCGTTTGGTTTACAATTTTGTGTTTTTGGGAAAAGTTTTTTGAAAAAAGTTAAAAAAAAAGTTGAATTGGGCGGGTATTACAATGTAGGATTTATAAATCAATAAAATACCCCCTATGTTTGTTTTTTTACAAAATATCCCCTATAATAAAACATTAAAAGTTAACAAAAACACCCCCAACCCACCCTCAAATACGGACAGCCGGCCACCACCGCCGGAGGGTGGCTAGAGTCGCAGTATCGGTGTATGACCGACTGGATCTTGCCGGTCATGCGCCGATAAGGCCTTTTCTGGCCAGGTCCATGGTGGATTTGGCCGGCAAAGGTCATATCCACGACTAGATCTGGCCATTGACGACTAGATCTGACTGTATTTGCTATTCAACGACGGCCAACAAACGGTCGTCGTTGATGGTCAACGACGAATGTTTGTTGGCCATCGTTACCGACTGGTTACGACCAAAGATCTGGCTGTCAACGGCCAGATCTTTGGCCTTAGATCTAGCCTTTTCCGGCCAGATCCACCGTGGATCTGGCTGAAAAAGGCTAGATCGGCGCACTACCGACCAGATTCAGCCGGTAGTGCGCCATCTTACTAGATTCCGGCCATTTTTCGGCAGTGGTGGCCAGAATCTGGTAAATGTGGATTGTTTGGGTGTTTTTGTAATTTTTTAAAAAATATTTAGGGGTATTTAATTAAATTAACAAATTTAAGGGGTTTAAAAAAAGTTGAATAATATTGTGAGTTTTTGGGTATTTTACTGTTTAACTTTTTTGAGAATACTAAAAGTAGTATTCCCAAAACCCAACCAAATGAAGCCCTAGATTCTCACCCTTAAAGTGACAAGAAATTGTTGGATATAACAGTTAAGGGGCAAATTGGTCATTTTACAGGAGGAGGCACACATTAGCAAATCGCTGCCCATAATAGTGCTCTAGCGCACGTTGGCTGACGTCGCCCCCGACATTTTTCGTCACTTTCCGGCAATTATTCCACCCAAAATTACTCTTGTCACCACCATTCAAACCTTCATCCTCCTCTCTATAAAACCTTACCCTTCACAACCCCTCATCATTCGTCGATCGCCAACCATGACAGCTGCTACATGCAACTGGTTTTTGTCGGTCTCAACCGGCGAACGACGACTAAACTATTGCTAAAGACATAGGGGTTTTGTAGAGTTGGAGATGCTGGTTGCAGTGATGATGTCCGATTGGATTTTTGTCGTCAAAATCGATCGGAATCCAACGAAGAATAGCAAAACCTTAAGCCTTATGGCACCGACAATTGAAGGAGCAAATGAGTCGAGAACCAAAGGGGTTTGGGATGATGGACGATGGGGAAGGTGATGGAGATGGAGATGACCAAAAGGTTCAACGCCGTTTAAAACAGCCCAAATCTGAAAAAAACTGAGAGGGTGCGTAGTCATTGAAGGTGTTATTGAAGTAATTTGAAAATAAGATGGTTAATTTATAATTTTAGTAATTTAGAAACTAAAACATAATTTATTAATTTATTTGTTAAAAACATTATAGTAATAACACTCTCTGTAACCTAAAAATTGTCAGCAGTGTTATTTTAAAGATATGATCTAGAATAAATAAAATCAGGAATATCAACTTGGGATTTCGTGGGTGGAAATATGTCTTTTACTCTATCAACTACTATAAAATTGCATCCAAATGTGCTATAACATCATCACTTCATTCTCATAAAACATGAAATAAAAGTTTATATTACTTTCAAGTTTTACAATTGAATATGATGATTAAACGCGCCTTATCTTTGTCATCAAAATATGTGGATCATACAGATTTGCCCAAGATTATGAACCTAATAACTCTAACAAAGCAGCTACCAACTATACAACAACAAACATTCTCTTCATTCCATCTATAAATATGTAGAAAAATGTAAATCACTCCAAAATCAACTCAAATACAGTACAAGGATATTATGAGCAGAATAGGAGAGGGAACATATCCACTCAATATTTATATAGAATGAACATGGTTTTTTACTACATTCTAATGTTGTCAGTCTTTATTTGAGTAATATGACCATAGTACTACATTTGAACAGAATCATCAATGACTGGCCTTGAAATAATCATTACTATATATTTACTTCAGTAGGAGGATTAAGAATTTGCATGAACAAACTTAAGGGATATACTATTGACGCAATGGCGTTCATCTGTAGGTGTTGGAAACCCTTCACCTTTGAATACATGGCCCAAGTGCCCACCACATGCAGCGCATGTAATTTCAACCCTCATACCATCAGGATCGGGCTGATATAACGTAAAAATTTTGTTAAAATTTTATTTGAAATGGAATTATTACAGAAAAAAGGGGAGTAACAGGAAGTGGTAAAGGAAGTGGAAGCTCACAGTGCGATTTATGGCTCCAGGGAGACCCTCATAGAAAGCTGGCCAGCCACAACCAGAATTGAATTTGGTTGTGGACCTGTAAAGAGGAGTACCACATCCAGCACAACTGTAGACACCCTCTTCAAAATGCTTGTCATATTCGCCCGTGCCCGGGTACCTATAAAACACACAAACAATGAAAATAATTTATCTACATGTAATAAACGGAATTAGCATGAAACATCTAATCTTTGTAATAAGAATCAAGGGCCTTGAAGATATGATGATAAATGAATAAAATAGTATCCCTTTAATCCTCTATTTGATCAAGTTCAAGAACAAAAAGCTGGTATTTTCACTCACCAATTCAGACCACTTATCAAGAAAACTAAAACTTCTTATCCCATCCTTCATTAGATGACGTTTTGTTGCTGTCTCTATTTTCAGAAGATTATAAGAGGAATAATCAATTCATAAGAAATCGAACAGGACAGTTCATATATGATTATATATAATTATTTTAATCCATCTGTTACCAAAAACTTCTTTTGAATGCCCCAATTTTTTTGTTTGTACCCTTTGAAATTTCTAAACATGTATATAAATATCATTCCAACATTTTCGCAACCTTTCAAACACACATTTTGTTATAAAATCTTATACTTCATACTCATAAAAGGTCACCATCAATAGCATTTAAAATTATAAAATCTAAACACACATTTTACTATTAAGTAATATTTGACAAGTTAAATTTGCATAAGTGAGGTGGGGAATCATCTTCATCGGATTACTTACCCTCCTTTGAAACATGAAATTTACTAAGTCCCTATACTATTTTATTTTTTTATTTTTTATTTTTTTTGGGTAAACCGGTAATTCTAATGTAGAGAAATTGTACAAATATTTGCCATAAAGGTAATATAACTAAATTTTCATTTTTTTAAAACATTGAAAACTATGAAATCTTCAATTGATCTTCCAGAACTTTCAATTAACAAATTGAGTGTTTGGACAAAGAGAAAATGAGAATTGCTAGAGAAAATCAAGAAGAATCTAACTGTATATTAATCAACCTGGAAATGAAGTACATTGCACTACATATGTCCTCCTTTTATAGTGGACACAACTTTAGAGAAGAATTATAAAAAATTAGGTACAATATACTAAACTCACTATACACATTTTACAAATATCTTGCCAGCTCATCCTTCCTAGTTAAGTCAGCTTCTTTGGTTTAATTTAGTTGGATTTACTTAAGATTAGGTATATCCTTATTTAGTTAACCCCACTAAAATTCTAATTGGACCAGGCCCACTTCATAGCTTGATCTTCATTTCCCAACCCTTTTCCCACAATAACTCCTATACTCCTAGTCCTTGTCTTTAAGCAGGGAAAGTATAAAAAGTAAACAAAAGGAGATAAAATTACAAACAAAGGTGCCTTTATAAATTTTGGCAAGATCTCAAAACTTATTAAGTGATATCTCCTATATCCCTATATTAATGCCTAATAATATGCCCCTTCTTTTTTGGTTCTTTCACTTATAAACATTCTTTTTCTAGCCTTTGACTTCTTTTCAAAAATAAACTGTGTTTTGTCTCAATGTGTTGCGGAATTATAGGCTTCTTTCTGAACATTTAGAGTGAAATAAAAACCTTCAACTTGACTTGAGATTTCGTGGAAAACAACATCTACAATAGTTGTCTTGACCATACCATCCATACCCAAATTCCAATCACACCTCCTTCATTAAACCCATTAGATAAGAAAGATGTAATTTTCAAGATCTTCATTGCTACTCCAACCAAGTCCGTGTTGTCACTAGAGGTGACAATACCTGGAACAATTTTGCCAACCATCTCAATGCAACTTTGTGCCAGAGAACGATTAAAAATTTCATCGATAATGAACTTATGGAGCCTCAAAGAATGTATAAAGATCCTCGAATGCAAGAAAACGTACGGTCATATCGTGATTCCAAAGCATGCGTGGTAGGAATTTGGGGTATGGGTGGTATAGGCAAGACAACTATTGCCGTTACAGTCTTCCACAAAATTTGAACTCAATTTGAAGGTTCTTAATTCATTCAAATGTTAGGAAAGAATGCAGAAGGAATTTGGGTTAAGTTGAAGTTCATACATATGAATGAAAACTGAATAACTAAATAGCCTGCTGCAAAGAGAAATAAATGACGTTAAAATATTTGACTAAAAAAAAATCGCTAGAAACAACATTTACACCCTTGGCTAAGGACAAACTATGATTCTATTAAGATCAAAGCCATAGCAAGCGGCAACCAAAATTGCAAGATCCTCAATAAGAGGGGGAGTAATGAGATTTCTTTTGCATCTATTTCCTCTCATGATTAGGGTTTTCATTCTCACAAACAAATTTTTCTTTTTAAATGAAATTGTATAGAATGAAAAACAATGTTTGGTAATGATGAAAAGCAGTGTAAGTAGCAAAAAGGATTTTTTTTTTTTTAAAAGAAATAGCACCTGAAGTGCAAGCAAAGGCAATAAAAATGCTTAGAGAAGATAAACTTCGAGTTTCAAGCAAGCTACTTAAGTACAGTAGGCAACAGACTTCAAGAAGACTTCTACTCCTTTTCAAAGAAAAATTGAATTTAAAAAAAAGGCTTAGAATTCCGCAACTTATCATGACAATAAAGTTTAATTAAAAAAAAAAAAAATCAACTCCCAAGGGTACAAAAGAATGTTTACCAAGGAAAGAGTTGAAATTAAGGAAGAGGCTAACATTTTGCATTAATATTTTAGATATCACAACTTGTTAAATTTATGAGATCTTACCAAAATTTATGAGGGGTGTCTTTGTTTGTTTGTTTTTTTTTTTTCCTAAAGACAAGACTGGGAGTATGGGAGTTAATGTAGGAGATTGGGTTGTGGATTGGGCTTGATTCAATTAAGATTTCATTGGGGTTAATGAAGAAAAAATTCGTTTAATCTTAAGTAAGCCCAACTAAATAAAGCCTAAGAGAAAAATTTCAAGGAGAAACTAAATTGGTAAGAAAGGATAAACTGACAAGAGAAGTGTAAAAAGAGTGACAGTGGAATTAATAAATTGTAACTAACTTTTTAAAATTTTCTCTCCAAGGCTATAAGATCCTTAATAACTTAATAACGACTTGAGTGTTTGGACAGAGTCATAAAGGGAAAATTTTAAAACTTAGTTACAATTCAATAATTCTACTATCACACATTTTGTACGTTCACAGTTCACATTTCCTTGCCAAGTTAGCTTCTTCTTGAAATTCTTCTTTTGGGCTTCATTTATTAGGTTTTACTTGATCTTTGCTTAGCTCTAGTATAATCATAATTGGACTAGGCCCCATTCACATCCAGTCTTCATTTCTCAATCTTGGTCCTAGAAATAATATTATCTAATCTATTTCCATACATAATTCAATCGCATTCAACAGCAAACATGTATTACTATGTATAATCTAATCCCGTATACCATACAGAACCTAGGAGACAGATTATAGTTCTATCGAGTTTCCAATTCCATGAGTAATCCCTATAAACCAAATGGCTCCTAAACGTAGGTTTATTTCTCATACTCCAGAAAATTTAGGAACCTCGATAAGACTAGATCTCTTTTTCATTTACTTGTGTCGAATATTATGAAATCATGGTTTAACTTAGGCTTTCTTTGCCAAACCAGAATTCCCATTTTAGTAAGGCCTAAAATCAAGGAAAAGCTTTTTGAGGTGATTCTTGTAATGAACCTTCATTTTCAACCCCTCTCCAGTTTTCCGTCATATGTTACACAAAATAAAGCTTATAACTTCAAGTATACTCACAGAAACTGTATAAAGAGTATAAGACTCAAAAGTGTGATTTCTCTAAGGGCTATGCTTTCAGAGGTCAGGTTCCCAAGAGACATCAATATCATGAGATCGACATACCTCATCTTCATAGCTCACACTGGCTTTATACAGAAGCAATAGCAACACAGCAACCCTTCATGCCAATTGATAAAGGGGCTGCTTAAATCGGTGACAAATATTTATGTAATCTTATTTACCCCACCCAATTTCCCTCATTTAAGCACACCCTTTTGCTTTCAACATTTTCTCTAGTTCAATTCTACATCTGATAACCCCATATCCAACTATCATGCTACGAAACCAAAAAGGAGGAACTCAACATTCTTCAGACATACACCGTTTCACATTAAAAAACTCTCGGCCATTTATAGTACAAGTAAGACTATATATCCATATCTATATTTATTAAAAAAAAAATTGTCTATAAATATAAAAAATTAAAAATTGTCTTGTTGGGGATATTAAGTAAATAAAACAACTGAAAACCAAATACTACAATTTTTTAAAACAATTGAAATTGTGTCATATAATTTTTCCCAATAGTTTGCTCATGAACCCCAAAAATCCGAAATTTTCTTTCTTTTTAAACATTATAAGCAATCTCTTAGCATGCATTTCCTCTTATGCATGAAAATTCACCACAAAGCATTCCAATAATTCGCAGTCTACCAAGTTTCAAGAAACCTAAAATATAGATGAATGCATAAATGATAAATTATAAAATAAATAAATAAATCATACTCAGTTCCCTTTTGCCTCAAAATCCGAAACTGTTCGGGCGAAAGTACCGCACGCCACTCCTCCTCTGATTTCTGGACAGATCCAGATGCGGCCATGGCCACAACAACCCCACCGCGAAAGCTGCGCTTGCTGTGGTGAAAAAGGAGAGAGCCGCTGAACCCAGACGAGGAAATAGAGCAAGCGGCGGGTTTAAGAGAACAAGAAGAGGTTAAGCGAGTGGTTGGTGGTGAGTGAATGAGAAGAAAAAAGTGAGTAATGGTGGGCTTGGTTGTGGTGGTGAAGAGAAAGGATTTCGTGGAAGAGATGGGCGAAGTTTTGAGAAGGTTCAAGTTGAAGCCCATTTCAGAGCGAGTTTGAGATATGGGATTAGGTTAGATCGGCTGTAGTGTTAGCTGTTGGTTACTTTATTCCACTTTCCAGCTGTCCAATGCAATGGTAAGGGTATTGCGTTGTCGGTAAGGTTACTGCATCAATAGTTACCGTTGGATTAAGTTCTATGGCAATACCACAATAATACGATACTGTTATTAAACTTTATCTTTAAATTTATATTTCATCAAATTCTTTAGAATCTTGGTGATGAAATAGTAAAAGGCATTGTTATTAGTATCCTACGATACGATTCGATACGGGTCACCAACGATACGTATTAGACAGTGTATCCTAAATATTTCGATACATTGATATGTATCATACGATACATGATTCAAAAAATCAGGTTTTCGATACAGGATACGATATACGATTTGACAGGCATGATACGAGGGAAGATGATTACCATTATCAATATATTTTAATTAAGAGTAATGCTAGTTTTACAAAGACACATACAAAGGGGGATACAAAGAGACATCATCTAGAAGAAAAAAAATAAAGAAAAAACAGAAAAAGAGAGAGAGAGAGAGATCATGAAAATCAAGGGAAAAAACAGAAAAAGAGAGAGAGATAAATCATGAAAATCAAGGGTGGAGATTGTCTTTGTAACCCTCTTTGTATGGGTCTTTGTAGAGATATCATTTTTCTTTAATTAAGCGTCGGTTTGGGAGTTTACTGAAGAAGAGTTTATTAGAGCGGACGATTATTATAAAAAAAAAAAAATTTGTTAATTATTTGACAAGAAAAATATATAACTTTAATATAAAGTTAAAATTTACAAAATAGAATAGATAATTTTTTGAAATTTCAATACTTTAAATATATTTAAGAAAAAGTTTATTTAAGCTTCTCATATAACTGTAAAATAAATTATTTAAAATCTGTACTTTTGAAATGCAGCCAAGTAACCTAACTTTAAAAAATTTCAAAATACTAAGAATTTACATAAGCTCTCTCAGATAGTAGGTAAGTCCAACCAAATAGACTTTAAATATTAGGCTTAATTTCTCTTTAGGGTGTGTTTGGTTCAAGAAATCTTGTATTATTGAGAATTTTATATTAATGGAAATAAATATAGATTACCTTAAAGATTACTGTGAATGTTTAGGGAAATGTGTTTTGTTAGTTTAAAATAAATTGATAGGTATGTTATATTGATATGTTTGGTTGTGAGGAATATATTAGTGAGTATGTTATATAGATTACCAAATTGTCTTTCTTTTTAAATATTAATATAATATAATATTATTATTATTACTTGAATCATTTCTTTTAACCACCTACATGTGAGATTTTGCTAAAACACCCTAGCTGCATAAAAGTTTAATTTCTAACAAAATCAACCCCACCCACCCTAAGCCCCTGTCGGCTACGAGCCACCGCCACAAGTAGTCGTCGTATCGGTGCACGATCGACTAGATCCGACCGATCATGTGTCGTTCTGGACATGGCAGCGACCACCGATGATGGTTGCTGGCAAGCAGTGGTGGTCTTGGGTGGCTTACAATTTGTTTTAAATACAAAGACATTATTGTCCAAAAACTTAATTAATTATGAGGAAAATTTTAATGGTTGGTTCATGTAAATTAATTTCAAAATAAGGGCATTATTGTTCAAAAGTTTTATTAATAAGGAGTAAACTTGTAACAAAATTTGCATTACTAACTAATCTTAAAATACCTAAAAAAATTGAAGTAATCAAATTACCAACAGTAATTACTATTGGTTTTAGAAGATTATTGAAATCTTATATTACTTGACAACCAAACGTGATAATTAAGTAATATAAGATGACATTACCTCAGCAACGAGGATTACCCTCACCTAAATACATCCTTAGGCTTTTAGTTTTTGCATTATAATAACCTGTCATTTTTTATATTTTATTTATGGTTACTTTTTAATTTTTAAAGATGTCAAATAAAAATATTTAATAGTGATATGAAAACCTTAAGAGAAAGTTAGGGTGTGTTTGTTTATGAATTTCGTGTTTGTCTGAAAAACAGTATATGAAAACGTGTTCGGCATGTTTGTTTGAAAACATAAAGAAATAAATGAAAATATAAAATTTATTACTCACACAATCGACAAAACTCATTCAAATGATCATTTATTTTATTCGTCCGAGATAGTTTCTTTCAAATATACCAATTTTTTTTTTATTTCCATTTGTTTTACGATTAAAATATTGATTTAGAATTGAAATTTTTGTTATATGAAAGAGAAGAGAAACATTTTACTAAATTTTCTCTCTTATAACTCATAAGCTTCTAATTTATGTGTTTTACGAAAATAAAAATAAAAATAAAAATTCATATGGCCACGTTTTTATTTTTTAATACTCCAGCAGTTAGTGAAAACCACTTTAATACTCGAGTTACTAGAGTCTAATCAGCTCTAGCGAAAGAGTCCAGTTGAATCTAGCAACGAGTAAACAAATTTTTAAATCTTTTTAATTTCTTATTTTTAGAAATTAAAATAACTCTTATATACATTATATTTTATTTCTAAAACTTGTTAATAGAATATAATTAATTAATTAATTTGTTAGTTTAAAGAAATTTTGGAGTCACGTTAGCATTACTGCATTAGGGTTGCTAGGGTGAAGGGCATGAAAAGCTGTAAAGGGGTAAAAATGGAACAAAAGTAGATCAAATGTCTTGTCTACTAAACCAATTTTTTTAAAAAAAAAAAAGAAGTCATATTTAACTTGTCAAAAGCAAAATGTTCTTTTAAACATGACAAAAAATACACTTATCTCGTGTACAACATTTATTAGTAAAATAAAATATGTTTAAATTTGACAGAACGACTTACACCCACCCAAAGTTTGTTGTAAAGACAATTTGATATCCAAAAGATTTAGAAATGACAAAGAGCCACTTTCCATCTAAATCTGTTAGTAAATTCTGTCTACAGTAATTAAAAAGACTAAAACGCCCTTATTATTTTCTTCTTTCTCCTTCTCTTTGCCTCTTCCCTTTTCTTCTCCACCACTTTATACACATCTCCTTCTCCAATCTTCCTCGAGCTTCAACCATTGCCCTTTGACATGCTTTTGCAATTGCTTTCTCAACAGCAACTCTTTCTGCCCTTTCTCGAGCTTCAATAAAGACCCGTTCATGAGCTTTGCGGACTGCTCTTTGAGCAGCTATTCTCTCCTTCTCCTTTTCCATTTCCTTCTCTTTTATTTGATTTACTTCTCTATTTCCCCTTCTTTTTGAATAGAACCTTCGACTTCTGTGGTTTTAGAATAGGTCTCTTTATTTCTTTCTATGTTTTGGCTTGTCTTGATTTCATTATATATCTTTGCCGTTTCCTCTTCTGCTTGAAAGATACTAGGTTGCCTAGTCTCCTCCATATTTCTTCCCATTGTCAACCTCACTGGAAAATTCAAAGTTACCCTTGTCTTCTTGCTGTTTAATTGCAGCATCAAGTTCCTCAACATCCTCAAAGATTTTTTCTGATTCACAAGCCAATTCTTCAACATGCTTTCCACCATTACAGACAGTCTCGAATGCCTCTCCATGTAGATCATTTTGCTTTTGTGATACAGCCATATCAATGTTTCCTAAATTTACCCTATTGTAATTGGAAGCAATAGCCTCAGTTGTATGGTTGACTTACTTTTTAGTCTCTTTGTGCTCAAGGACCACTTGAGCCAAACTAGGTATTTCAACTTCAAAAACCTCTTTTGTCTCCAATTCATTCGCCACTTCAGTTGAATTTAATTTTGTTTCCATCTCTTTGCACTCAGAAGAAGCTTGAGTTACTTCTATTATCTCCCCATTCTCTCCATGTGTGGGTATCTCCAAATATACATCGTTTTATTCATGACAAGATGGTCCCATGGTATCACTTAGAATCCCAATTTTTTCTTCCTTAAAATACATTAATAACTACCTCAAGATTGTTCTTATAGTGCTCAAGAGCCTCTTGAGTTGCTTTGATCTTCTCATCTTCTGCTTTCTGATCAATCCCGGCTCGCATTTGTCTAGATCCTGTGCATTCACAACCCTCTTTTTGTCTCCTCTCAATGCCTCTTTTAGTTTCTTCACGTTTTCTTCAGCCTCTTTAACCTTTTGTTTCACTACCCTCATCTGATTTCTTCTCACATTATTTGCTATCATGAAGATCATCTAAAATCTTGGAGAAGGAGATAAAGTGGCGGAGAAGAAAAGGGAAGGAGAAAGAAGAAAATAATAAGGGTGTTTTAGTCTTTTCCATTATGGTAGATGGAATTTAATAACAAATCTGGACGAAAAATGGTTGTTTGTGTCTTTACAGCAAACTTTGGATGGGTGTAAGTCGTTCTGCCTTTAAATTTAGAGTTAACTACATAGATCTCTCTTAGGGTTTCAACCTTTATAGGCACATAGATCTGTTAACGTTATCTAACTTACACCCATTCCAACATAAAAAATTGACAACTTGCCCACATAATTAGCCATTTACACCTCTAACTGTCAAATTTTGGTGTTAAATTAACATAGAGAAGGAAAAAAATAGACCTTTTTATGTCTAAATATTGAAGTATATATTCAAAATAATAAAAACAATGGGTCCATTTGTTTTGTTATTTTGGATAAGATTTTGGGAATAATATTGAGTAGTTGAATAGGGTGAGTATTACGAGGTAAAATTTTAAAATTCACAAAAAAACCCCTTAGGTTTGCTAATTTAACTAAACACCCCAATATATAAAAATTTTGTAAAATGACAAAAACACCCCCACCCACCCACAATGCCAAATTCCAGCCACCACCACCAGAATCTGGCCAAAAAATAGCGTTACGACGCAGACTGATCGGATATAGCCAGTCGTGCGTCCATATGGCATTTTCCGGCCAGATCCACCACCGATATGGCCGGAAAAGCCAGATCTGGCCTTCGACGGCCGCAAAAGGCCAGATTTGGCCGTCAGTGACGGCCAAAGATCTGGCCTTTTCCGGCCAGATCTAGTGTGGATCTGACCGGAAAAGGCTAGATCGACGAATTACCGGCCATTTTCGATCGTTTCTATGCCATTGTGACAGATTCCGACAACCATAAATAGTGGTTTCCAGAATCTAGCAACTATGGGTGGGTGGGGGTGTTTTTGTCAATTTTTAAACTTTTTTTCTAAGGGGTGTTTAATTAAATTAATAAAATTAAGGGGTTTAAAAGTGATTAAAAAATTGAATAGTATTTCTCAAATAATAAAACAAACAAGTATTTTGGAAAAGGAATTGGGAATATGGATAGGAATAACAAAACAAGCGGAGCCTTTTTGTTTTTTGTTTTAAATAAAATATATTTTTGAGATATAATATCATTTTTTAAAAAATAAATTATTTTAAAGGAGGTGTCAAACGATAAGAGATTGTTGGAACCATCATTCTTAGATTCCGAAAATCCTTTTTTTTAATAAAAATTTAATTATTGGATTTTCATTTTACAAAAAAGAAAAAAGAAACAACAATAAGTATATATGTTTTTTCAGTTTTTATATTTTTATTTTGTCAAATATTTTTATTTTTTATTTTCCATTATTAGTTAAAAAAGTATTAAAAATTACGTTTCAATTTTTAAAACTTTTTAGTTTAGAAATTAAATATTAAAAGAAATACAAGGATGTGTTTTTTTGAGTATTTAGAATAATACCTTTTGAAAAAGTTGAGTTGGGTTGTTTTTACGAGAATAAAATTTGAATTTGAATATGTGTTTAGTAAATTTTTGAAAAACATTTTCTGAAAATATTTAGATTATTTTTTAACCCCCTATAGTTGTTAATTTAGCTAAACATCCCCTATAATAAAAGTTTATAAATTAACAAAAGCACCCCTATCCACCCATTAAATGCTGGTAGCTAGCCGCCATCGCTAGATGGTGGCCGAAAGTCACCGGAATGACGCACGACCGACTGAATTTGGTCGTCAAGATCTGACATTTTCCAACCAGATCCACCATGGATCTGGTTGGAAAAAGCCAGATCAGCGCACAACTAGCCAAATCTAGCTGATTGTGCGCCATTCTGGCGACGACAACGGTGGTGGCTGCTGGCAGGTTATAGTGGCTTGGGTGGGTGGAGATGTTTTTGTTAATTTTAAAACTTTTATTAAGAAAAAACAATTGTTAATGTTTTGAGTCGAATAGAACGGAGTTAGATTTTGAAAATATTGAAACAAATGTATTTTTCATTTTTTTTGGATAGGATAGTAAGACAGGATATAGTTTGAATAATGCCCCAAACACAGGCTTTTGGGTGTGTTTGTTTTGGTATTCTGAATAGTATTTTTCATATTTTTAGAGTTGAGTGGGAATAACGAGATAGGATTTGAAAATTAACAAAAACACCCCCTAGGTTTGTTAAATAATTGAACACCCTTGTAATAAAAATATTAAAAATTACAAAAACACCTACCCACCCATTAAATTATGGCAGCTGGCCACCACCGCCCAAGGGTGGTTGGAGTAATTGTATCGGCGCACGACATGCTAGATCTGGCCAGTCGTGCACCGATATGACATTTTCCAGCCAGATCCATCGTGGATCTGGCCGAAAAAGGCTAGATCTGGTCGTTGTTAATGGATATGACCATTGTTGATGACCAGCTACGGCTAGAGAGATCTGGCTTTTTTCGACTAGATCCACGGTGGATCTAGCTGAAAAATGATAGATCGGTGCACTACCAACTAGATCTAGCCGGTAATGTGCCATTATACCAGATTCTGGTCACCCTATGGTAGTGGTGGTCAGAATTTGGCAAATGTCGGTAGGTGGGGGTGTTTTTGTCAAATTTTAAACTTTTTTCTGGAGGTGTTTATTTAAATTAATAAACTTAAGGGGTTTAAAAACAATTGAAGAAAATATAATAGTATTTTCAGAATAGAGAAACAGACTGGTATTTTGGAAATAGTATGAATAGGATAGCTAAAAATATTTAAACAAATAGACCCAAATTATTTTGAAATATTTAATTTAGAATTTAGTATTTTATAATGAAAGCTTATTTTGCCCTTTTCTCAGTTAATTTAACACCAAAAATTGATGGTAGGAGGCATAAGTGGCTACTTATAGAGGGAAGTTGTCAATGTTTTATGTTAGAGGGGGGTGTAATTGAAATAACTCTAATGGAGCTGAAAATGAGTAATATTATACAAATAACTAATTCTCACAAATTTTCTCTCACAATCTGGTCAGTTCACAATGAGTTTNATAATGAAAGCTTATTTTGCCCTTTTCTCAGTTAATTTGACACCAAAAATTGATGGTAGGAGGCATAAGTGGCTACTTATAGAGGGAAGTTGTCAATGTTTTATGTTAGAGGGGGGTGTAATTGAAATAACTCTAATGGAGCTGAAAATGAGTAATATTATACAAATAACTAATTCTCACAAATTTTCTCTCACAATCTGGTCAGTTCACAATGAGTTTTACATAAGTTTTGTATGAGTCTCACTAATTAATTGGTTAATTTATAATGAGTTTTATATAGGTTTTGTATGAGTTTCAGTAATTAATTATCACACTAAGGTTGTCAAAGAAAATTTACGAGAAAAAGGTTATTGGTATAGTATTATTGTAACGAAAATATTGAGGGCAATTGAGGGGAGGATGGAAGAATATAATATGGTACACGTGTGGTTATTTTGTTCCAATAATTTGTCTTCACCAACAGTACCACGGTTCACATCCTTCCACTCACTCCCTCAATTCCGATCGCCCAACGACGGTACGATCATCGCAATGGCTATTAGTTTTTCTTTTTCCTTACGTTTCAATTCTCCGTATTCTCTGCAATTCATTTGTTGTTATAGAAACTTTTATTTTCGTCTTGCGCCTTACGTATAATATAATATTCAATTTGTGCGTCTAGAAATTAAAATTGAATTTCGGTTTTTGTGGTTAATTTTGGTGCTGGAATCGGTTAATAATCAATTTGGCACTTGTTAGGAGGTAAGTTTTGTTAAAATTAGTGAAGAATATGTATTTTTGTAATTGATTTGAGTTGTTATCATCTCAATAATCATTGAAATTCTGAATACCGGGAAGTGTAGATCGTAGACTGAATCTTTATTCTTCATTTATATGTTACTGTTAAGTTGGTTGTAATTAATGAGTAAATTGATTGCCCTGGGTTTGGTTTTGAAGTCGTTTATCATATTTTGGCCAAGTTGTATGGTCTGTGCTTTATCTTCGGGTAGTTTCTGGTTTTTAATTTTTTTCTTTTTTTTTTGGAATGGCTGTGCAAATTCTTGTATTTGGCTGCTGCTGTTGGCTGGAAAATTATGTGTTCTAAAGTTTTGCTTGTTTCGGCTTTTCAGTACTTTCTATGGGTGATTTCAACTCTCTAAACTCTGTCTAATTAGAGGCATTTAGATATATTGTGATTTGCTTTAAGGATGTTAGCTAGTGATGTTGTAATAATAAGCCTATCTGGTTTCTTCTTCAGGAACTTTAACTCTCACTAATGTTTAATTAGGTTTATAAACTGTGGTGCTGGTTTACTATGGATTTTCAGTTGTATTTCTATGTTAAATTAGGAGATTTGGCTTTGATTTACTGCAGGGGATGTACTGCTTGTGAAACTTTTTCTTTTCTTTTTACATGTGAAATGGAGATTTGGGTAAATAAACTGAGGAGAAGAGGGGGGAGGTTTGGAGTTGGTCCAATAGGTTATCGCGAATGGCCAATTATGAGAAACTTGTTGACTAAATGTATTTATTTGGCGTTTTTCTCTGTTTACACTTCTGTGCCAATAGTGCTATCTTGCGGATGCACAATGCTTTGTACATTGAGCCTGTTGTGGTTATCCATTTAAGAGCTTGAATATTTTAAGAGAAACAGAATTTATATAACTGGTGAGACATTTGCTTTCTTTTTTTGATAAATTAGAATTTATTTGAAGGAGAACAGTTGGCAATACTAAGTATATTTGGCATAAATAAATTTTTAATTGTCTCTATATATCATGTGCCAACATGAGTGACATACTCACATACATGAACAGAAGCAAACATGTAACTGGATTTTACATTTGTGTTTGTGTAGCAGTTATAAGAAGAAAAGGAGGCTCCTCTTTTTTAAGGCCATTTTGTGAATAGGACTGTAACATAATTGTTAGATTATTTGGTTTAAACTTGATGCATGTCTTTAATGCATGGCCTATTCCTGGAACTTGATTATTTTGTTGAGAAAGACTTCTGGAAGGAAAATATGTGAGTCATCATCTTTGAGATTACTTTGGAGTTGATAAGTGAATACAAATAGCATACACAGTTGGGAAAAGGCCTTATCATTTTACCTTTACATGTCATGTTTTGTTCTCTGTATATTTTGTTACTGTAATACTGTAAATTTTATATCTCTTTTGAATCGTATTTGGAATTTTTTTTTTTTTTGCCTTGTTAATGCTCTGACTCATCATTTCTAGAGTTACTGTGTTTAGTTAACAAAAAGAGAATCCAAATATTGTGTTTATATGACACTGGTTTCTAGATTTACTGCATTTAGTTAACGATAAGAGAATCCAAATATTGTGTTTATATGACTCTGGTTTCTAGATTTATTGCGTTTAGTTAACAATAAGGGAATCCAAATATTGTGTTTATATGACTCTGTCACTCTGAAAATTAGATTTTGATTGTCAAGGTCTCAAAATTTTTTTAGCTTACAGCATCAATTCTTTTTCTAAGGCCAGATTTACTTACAGGTAATATGTTGTTACTGAGTATTGACGAATCTTTTTCCCAAAGAAAAGTAGTTATTTGTTAGATCTAAAGTATATTTTTTAGAACACCGTATGTGTTTGATGTATACTGATCATTTATGATGCCTCTAGGGAGAACCCTGTTTTAGGCTGGTACTACTCAATAAAACTGTATTTTTGTTTCAGAACATGGTATTTGGCTATTTGCTGATATTTTGAAGTGTTTCAGCACCGTATTTAATATTAAAGAGGTACAGACTACAGATTTTTAGTGTAATGGTTTATTACATTTACCTGGATTTTTGTATTGCTATTTTTCATTTTTGGTGTTGATTATCCTTAAAAAGGTTTTGCAAATTAAAATAAATTTATAAAGATTCTTGATGAAGAACTAGAACCATCATAGTCTCCATTGCTCTTTAACTTGCAGATCTAGGTCAGAGAAAGATTTCCAATATATTTCTGAACGTCTAATTTCTGATTGATGCTTAAGTCAAAAGTTTTGGTCACTTCATATTGACTGCTTTCTCTTTATTAGGGTTGTACAGAAGGGGACTCATTTGTGTCCTTCCATTACAGTTTTCCCTTGTTGTATTGAAGCTATGTTTCTTGGACATCTTAAATGACTGAAGTATCCATGATTGGACCTAGTGTCTGATTCTTGACATCCATGACTATAATGTATGTGAAGTATTTGTTGCCTGACTTTTTAGTAATGTGTTTGAAGCTCTGCCAGTTATCAGAGTTCTTAAATCCACATGAGCTTTAAAACTTTCCACCTGCTCACATATGAATTCATGGATATCATGCATCCTTAATCATCAGATAAATATATATTTTATTTATTTATTATAAAACAACTGTCATTACATTAGTTAAATGTCATTCTCTGGTTGTTAAAGTTGGCATATCCACCTGTGCTTCTTTAACCCTCTCACTTTTTTTTTTTTTTTTTTTTTATGAAACATATGTGTGCACAGGAAAGTTCTCTGTTTTGAGGAGAAAGCATTGGTTTTCATTGTTGTGGGATATTTTGATTTTTAGCTGCTGAGTTTTGAAGTCGTTGTTTATGGACTTTAGGTCTCTTCTATCTATTTCAGTATCTTTCATATTCATTAAGCTTAAAAGAACGCATGTGATCCCTATCAACATGTCTTTGCTGAGTCAAGCTGAAGAGTCTACCAATATTATATGAAGCTTGAGACAAGCTTGTCTTGGCTAAGCTAGAGGAGCCTAATTGTCACCAGAAAAATCTGGTTGGTTTTTCAGCTTACTTTTTAGGTTCCTTTTAATTAATGGACCTTAAATGTGCACAATTCTTGAACTGTGTACTTGGAATGAGCTTTCATGTCCTATGGTGCTTAATAATTATTGGTGTTCGCATTCTCAGTAAAAGATTAGCGTGTTTTTGTGTTTTCTTATGATCTCTCTGATCTCATGAAACTTCTGGTTTATCTTAAGGCATGGTTCATGTTTTGATGCCTTCATCTGTTTCTTGTAGGATATTGCCATTCCATATAAGAAATGGAGCTGAGTACTGTAAGAGATGCATTTGATCGTGTTGCTAAAAAGCAAAAACTGTCATCCTCCAAATCCCAAGAAGTAATTGATCAAGTTGGCCATGAAATTGAACAAGCGTTAACAAAGATCCAGTCAGTTGATGACTCCAGCTTACCTGTTGATCTGAAATCTACCCTGACACAGCTAAAACTCAAGTTCAATGCAATTGATCCCCAGCACCAGTTAGAAGGGTCACAGAAGGAATTAAGCGTAAACCTTAACAAGTACTTGAAACTCCTGGAAAAGTTATTTAATCCTGACATATCCAAGGCGTATATAAATGTTGACTTTGATCACCACATAGTGAATCAGATAATTGCCAATCATTTTTACAGGAATGGTTTGTTTGATCTTGGAGATTGCCTAATAAATGAGGCTGGAGAACCAGAGGTATCTGCACTAAAATCTCATTTCTTGGAGATGTATAAGCTACTTGAGGCTTTGAGGATTAAGAACATTGAGCCTGCTCTGAACTGGGTTGCTGCCAACCGTGAAAAACTCAAACAAAATGCTTCAAATCTGGAGCTGAAACTTCACCGGCTTCAATTTTTTGAGATTTTGCAAAAAAGAGGACGGGCTGGTGCACTTAAATACGCCAGAACTTACCTTGCCCCTTTTGCTTTGTTTCACCTAGATGAAGTCCAAAAGCTTATGGGTTCTCTCTTGTGGGCCAGAAGACTTGAAAAATCCCCTTATGCCGAGTTGCTGAATTCTGCTCATTGGGACAAACTCACTGAGGAGCTCACCCAGCAGTTCTGCAGTCTGTTGGGACAACCCTACGAGAGTCCTTTAACTGTTGCCATAGCAGCTGGTCTCGAAGGATTGCCAACACTCTTGAAGCTGGCAAATGTAATGGCAGCAAAGAAGCATGACTGGCAGGCAATGAAGCAGTTGCCAGTGCCAGTGGAACTGGGAAAGGAATTTCAGTTCCACTCAATATTTGTTTGTCCTGTAAGTAGAGAACAAGGTAGTGAAGAGAATCCACCGATGCTGCTGCCATGTCTGCATGTGCTTTGCAAGCAATCAATCATGAAGATGTCAAAAACTAGCTCGCGCATACTCAAGTGCCCTTATTGCCCGTCTGAGGCTTCAGTGGCACAGTGCAGGCAGCTTTATTTTTGAACCTCGTGATATTTCCTTCACTTTATGAACTGAATTTTGGTGGTGGCGATAAGATATATATATATATATATATATATATTGCATTAAATTTACTTGTATATAAAAATTCTTTATACATTGATGTTTGGTTTAGGGCTGAATCACTTAGATCAAAATCTAGTCAACTTGGTTATCCCTGGTAGAAAATGTTGCAGAAGATCTAGTGAATTGGTGATCTCATTGTGTTCACACTGTAGTGATGAGATGATGCATATAAATTTCCAGTTGAAATGTGCTGGAAAATGTCTCATTCTGTAGTTGAATTGACTAAGCAAAGCACCTAGATTTGCACATTACAATATTTTAGCATTTACAGTGAGGTGAACTTCACATGAAAAGTCATTCAGCAATATTTTAGCATTTTTTCAACAATATTTGATTTTTGTTGAATAAAAATAAAATGAACCGTTACCCATGTAAATATATAATACATATCTTCATATATCCAATACTAGTAATATATATATAAATTGTACATTAATACTACTGAAACTATTGGATATTAATAACATTTTATTTTGATTTTGATTGTACATATCTAAACGAAACATACCCAGAAAGAAAAGAGAAAAATTTCTCACAAATCAAACGACGAAGATAAGTTGAATGGCGATGGAGACGAAGAGGCGGCATCACGGCGAATAGAAGTTGAATGGAGAACGGTGAAGTCGATGGAGACAAAGAGACGATAGGCAATTCGAGTGGTCGGTTGGTCGTGGAGGAGGTTTAGCTGTTTAGGGAATTAAGGTTGATCTGGGGAAAAATCAACTTATATATAGTAAGGGTAAATCAGTAATTAGCTTATTTTGCGAGGGGACATTTGTCCCTGTCTTGTCTCCTCCTATTGCGAGGAATCCTTACCCTGTACGGGGTCCCTGAAATTCCAAGGACCATTGCCATCTGTAGGTTATAAGCATGAGTGAAGACGCTAAAATATTTTTTTTTTATCTTAAAAGAAAAAAATAGGTTAGGAATGTCTAGTGTTGGGGGGGGGGTATCCACCTTTTTTTTAAGAACCAGAACTGGTTGGTTCCTTTGATTTGAAATCAGAATTGGAACCGATGGTTTCAATTCCTAAAAAGCTAGAACCGAAACACAGATTCTGGCTCTAGGTACTTAGAAAAATATCAATAATCCCCTATTTAAAAAAAAAATGATAAATAAACCCTTATAAAATTACAATATACCCTAATAGTTTTTTGAAATGACAATACACCCTGCAAACTTTACACAAACATTACAACTATTCCAATATCCATTTCAACCTCTTAAAATTAAAATTATATAACACTTTCAAGCTTTAAATAACACAAGTACAACAACATAATAACATATCAACCATCAAGTTTCATCCTTCCAAAATTAAAATTACATAACATTTTAAATACCACAAGTACAACAACGTGATAACTGCAATACTATGACTAAGAAATTTATAAAAATAGCATATGAAAATTCTTTACTCTAATAAATATATCTCCCTTATATTTTAAATGAATTGTAATTTTTGGTATATATTATCAGCAATACTATGACTAGTAAATATAGGTATATAATAATAGATAGAATAAATATAGGCTGACAAACACTTTTTATAAATTTCTCTCACAACGCTGATGTGATAGCTCGCAATTAGTCAATGGTATTTGGTCAAGCGACACCCATTGTTAGGCACGAGAGATCTATTATGAATTAACAAATTACAAATTGATACGTCGTGTTTGTGAGAAAAAGTTAGTGAGAATGATTTATGAGTGGAGAGTTAGTATAATAGTTAATGGAATTTAATTGAAGTTGATTTAATTTAGGTAGGGGGGTAGAGTAGGTGAAAAAAGGAATTACAAGCGGGGATAAAAATTAAAGAGGATTGAAGTGCACGCAAATAAAAACATGATTTTCATAGGGAACACCACCACAATGTCCGTGCATGACATGCTTATCAAAGAACGTATTGGATACTCTGCCATGCAATTTAAACTTGTAACTCTTTTTTATTTTATTTGAAGCATAAAATATTTGAAAAGCCCTCATATTTTCATGAAATTTCATTTAAATATCGGTTTCTGGTTTCTCCTGGTAGGAACTAAAACCGAGACCACATAGTATCCATTTCCCTTTTTTTTTTGGAACCAGAACCAACATTGTGGTAGCCGGTTTTGGGTAGGAATTGTAATCGAAACTCGGGTATCCAACGGTTTCGATTTTACCCTATTTTTTTGTCGACCCCTAGAGCTGGTCAAGGACTAGTCCCAAGCAAGCCTAGGCCTGGGCCCGTTTGGGACTGGTCCTTTTGGGATCGGTCCCAAATGGGACTAGTCGCTCATGGGCCTAGGACCGGTCCCAGGCTCATGAGCAATATTAGGACCCGGACCAATCCCTAGGACTGGTCCTATGGGCCCAAGACTGGTCCTAGGACCGGTCCTGTGAGCCTGGGTAATTTCTTTTCCCTCCTGATCTTTTTTTATATTTTAGAGGCGAAATGAAATTTTATAGGGGGGTTTTTAGTATTTTTTAGGGGTTGATTAGTAAGTTTCTAAAAATTTAATTAATTTGAAAAAATAATAAAATAATAAATAAATTAATAGTTAATTTTAATTTTTAACATAAATGTAATATTCACATTTCACGCATTCACGCTTTACAAATAAATAATTAAATAATTTTTTTTATTAAATTATTCATCTTCAATTTCATCGTCAACAATATTTATATCATTCAAATCTGTATTCCTAAAGAGTTCGAGTAGTTTGGGATCTTCAGGGTGCTATTGTAGTCTTCTTTCTGCATGAGTCCAATCCCGTAAACACGTTATCACTTCAATCATCTTATTGGTTAAAGAACATCTTATATCTTTAACAATCCGACCACCCGTTGAAAATGTTGACTCAATGCAATTGTAGAAACAGGCATAGATAAAATGTCACGTGCCATTTGGGCTATAATGGGGAATTGACTTTCATGTTGGTTCCACCATTGAAAAATATCCATGTCAAGTTGCTCCTTCATCGTCATAAAGGACATGTCCACTTGTAGGTAGCGATTCAACTCATTTGGTCCATGTATGTACGAGCTGGAGCCGCTACTTCCGCCACGTTCCACATACGTCCACTTGCTTGATCCTTGACGGAGGGCTGCATCAAGTTCCTAATCCTCTCTCTTGAACGTTCCACTTCCATTGTACCTGCTCTCATATAAAAAAAAAAGGCTATCCAATTTTTGTTTAAAGTCAGTCAAATAAGACGTATAATCATGTCCTAAATGCTAGCCTAACTTAGTAATTATACAGTTAACTACGTGTAATTTAAACATAGGATCTAGAAAAAGGTCTAATCCATATAAGAATGGAATATCTAACCAATATTTCTCATATTTTTCTTCCATCTTTAAAACAATTTCCCTTAAAACGTTATTATATCTATATTTAGCAAAAGTTTTAGCAATTTAAAGTAAAATATCTAACACTAAATTAGTAGTCGGATAATAAATACCACTTAATGTATTAGTAGCATCATAAAAAATTTTAAGAAATGAATAAAAAAGTGCACAAACCGCCCAATCATCACAGTTGACAACTTCCTCTGGATAGTACTTCCGGTTGACGAAATCTGTAATTTGTTTTGCAGTTAGCAAAACTTTTTCCAACATCAAGTAGGTGGAGTTCCAACGGATAGGCATGTCCACACATAACTTCAAAGGTCGAACTGGTGGCTCCTCTTGCTTACAATATTTTACTTACTCTTGCCATCTTTTATTGCTACCGCTGACAATAAATCCGATAGCCACGCGCACCCTCTCCATCTTCGAATGTATAGCATCTAAACTTGCTTTAACTATCAAATTGATGATGTGGCAAACACATCTCTGGTGAAAAAATTTGCTCACCACGTGAATCCAATCTCTTTTCAAATAAAGAGATTGTCGCGGTGTTAGTAGCTGCATTATCAAGCGTTAGCGCTACAACTCTATCAGTTAATAAATATTCTTGCAAAACTTAAAGAATTGTAAAATAAATAGTTTCAGCACTATGTTTTTCATATAATGGTTTAAAACCCATCAATTTTTGTTGTAAACCCCAATTAAGAAATGTACTGTGACAGTTAAAAAATCGGTTTTTGATCTACAAGCCCATATGTCTGATGTAAGTGCAATAGATATATTCCTAAAATTTTGAAATTCGTTTTTAGGTTTATTATTTATTTTGCTATAAAGTTTTAGTATATCTCTTCTACTTGTACTTCTACTAATAGGGGTATATGCTGGACAAAATGCAGTTTTAATCATGTGAATAAAATAAGGATTTTCAGATAAACAAATGGGAGAGTCCGTAGCAACTATGAATCTTGCTATTTCCTCTCGTGCAACATGTGCATTGTATTGCCATGTTGAGAGAGTTGAGGATTGTGAATTAAAATTAAGTTGAGTTTGAATTTGTCTACCTGATTCGGATGAAGATGTACCGGGCAACTGCATTATTTGGGGGTGCTTCTTCTCCATGTGTCGTTGCATCATCGAAGTCCCCTTTTCAGCGTCAATAATGGTTCCACAGAAATTACATATCCCACACGATTCTTCCCCCTCCCCATTTGTCTTTGGCCATTTTGATTTGGTGAAATGTCGCCATACATCGGACATGACCCTCTTTGACGATCAGGGGGTTGGACTATGCCCGTGCCCGTTGACTCGCAGCTTGCATATGTTTGGCTACACCTCGTCCCGATCAAATGTGGTTGTGGAATTGCAACTGTTGCCTCTATAGGAAATGGTGAAAATGGATTGAACCCTTCCATTTCTTCGGTGGATGGAACGTAAAACTCATTTGGGAAATCCATTATAAATTTATGATAAAATAATAAATAATTAAAATGAAAAGAAATTAAATAATAATTTGAATAAGAGATGATATTGAAAAATAGAAAATTTGAATAATATAAATAAATAAATAATATGAATAAATTATAAATATAAATATAAATTGAATGAGAATTTGATTGGAGATTTGGAGTAGAGAGATTGAGAGAATGAGAGATTGATTGGTGTGGAAAAAATGAAAGATTTTAGGGTTATTTATAGTGTAGTTTGGGGAGACGGGGAGAGAGAGGAATAAAAAAAAAAAAAAAGGTTATAAAATTATAACCTTTGGCTGGCATGTGACCGTTGGTAGCAGCCAACGGTTAGTAGAAAAAGTTAATTTTTTTTTTTTTTTAATAAATTTTGTAAAATTTTATTTTAACCCTTGTAATTTATGTTTATTTTAAAATTTATAAGGGGGTTATGTAATTGCACATGGGACTAAACTGAAAAAATGCAAAAAGATTTAGGCCCAAGCTTGGGACCTTGGAGGAGGGCCCAGT